TTAGTGACTTTTGGGACCAGCGAGAGGACGGTACCATTAACTTCCTTAGGCATGAAACCATAGAGGAAAAACGATTGGACTGCCACCACAAAATCTGCCCCTATTATCGACCATGCAGCTCTATAGAACTCAGCCGTGAAGCCATCCGGACCCGGCGCGTTTTTAAGTGGCATAGAAAAAACCGTCTTACGTATCTCCTCTACAGTTATTGGTTGGAGTAGAGTGGCAGCATTCCCAGCAGAACATCAAAATGATACCAAGTTCGCAATAGCATAGTTCATATGCTTCTGTAACCGTAGCATAGTTCGAATGGTGTGGACTGGTAAGAGCATCGTTTTGCTTTTGGCAGAGATCCACATAAGCCAGCTTGACCCGAGTAGGGAGATCACCATAAGTTTTTCTGTTTAGACGCCGCATGTCCTCTTTTAGAAGTTTCAGTTTTTTGTGAAACAAATTAAGGGCTGATCTCGAGTGATAAAGCGGTGATGTGGTGGACCAAATTTGAGCTACAACTTCTGAAAATTAAGGATGCAAGGCTACATGATTAAAAAATTGAAACGGACGTATGTTCCTTTGCGGAGGCTCTCTGACTTGGACCCAAAAACGTGTATAGTCAGAGACTCCACCCATCTCAAAGGTAGCAAGAGCGCCCGGAAAAGACTGTAGCCACCTATTATTTACCAGAGCTCTATCCAACTTCTTGTTGATGGGACTTTCATCTTGACTATTTGTCCAAGTAAATATTTGTCCTCCGAATGATAAGTCCTCCAATCCACAAGACTGAACTGTATCTTGAAACTCTGTCATCGCCCCTTGATCCGGAAGGTAATCCTGGGATCTTGAGTGCTCCGAGGATGATAGAGTGACATTAAAATCCCCAACAACTAACCAAGGATTATCATTCTGAACACACCCTGCTTGGATATCACAAAGTTCCTGCCACAGTAAACGCCTTTCCGGAGCAAAATTTGAGGCATATACAAAAGAACAGATGAAATACTCTCCCGAGGATTTAAAACGAATCCAGCAGGTTATCTGTTGTGCACTCATATGTATTAAGTGTACTTCAAATTCTTCAGACCAACAAACCCAAATTCTTCCCAGTCTGATGGGAGGAGCGAACAACAATGACAGAGGTATACTACTACGCCTCTGTTTTCAAGTAAGGATTTATTTCGTTTGGCGGGAAAGGAACACTCGTATCCATGGAGGAACTTATTGCCTAGCGAACCAGATGGTGAAACTCATTGACAAACACATACGGAACAGGATTGTGTCTCTCAACTATCCTCACAAGCCGAGGATCCGCCAATTGCTACAAACGTGGTTTCAAGTTTCCCCAACTCGTTAAGTTGCTCTGTCTTTTGTAATGTTGGTTATCTCCTCTAATTGCTTTTCAGTTTTCTTACCGTTTAATACCCTTTTGTGCATAACTTTTTTGGTTTGATTAATAAATTACACAATCAAAAAAAAAAAAAAAATCTTGAGATAATTATCATTCAAATCTTGATATATGATATCATATTTTTCTATTTTGCGTATATTTTGCATGTATATCTCATTAACCAATTAAAAGAAGATATTACTCCTTACAAAAAGATATTACTCGATTAGTTAGCTTTTAGTTTTAATTTTTTTTAATAATACTAAATATACCAAACGGAAATTCAGTTACAAAAAATCCGATTTTTTTTTTAATTTAAATTTTCATTAAAAGAGAACAAGTTACAAGGCCCAAAAGGCCCCAAACAAGGCACACATGCCCAGCATACAAGGCAAAAGCCGAAAATAGGCGCGCAGGCCCAACATACAAGGCAAAAGCCGATACAAGGCACGCATGCCCAACCAGAAGGAGAAAGCCCAATGAAGAACCCACCTAAGACGAGAAAGCAAAGGAAATCACTGAAACAAGGAAAACCACGTAGCAGAAGAGTTAAGGCCGGCGGGATGCAGGGCTGCTCTCTAGATAGAGGATCGAGACTCGCTCTAACTAACAACTTAATTTCCTTGATTATCACAGCAGCAGTCCTAAGATTGGCGAGATGAATGCGTTGATTTCGCTCACGCCAAATGAGATAGATATAGGCTTGATAGATCAGATTGAGAATAAGAGCAACATTCTTGTTCCTCGAGGCGGTTTTTAGCCAAAGAAGACAGGCCATAAACTTAAGAGGCGGATGGTTATTAGTTCTTTGGGTGAAGTGAAGCCAAATATCGTGACTAAAGCTGCATTCAAAGAACAAGTGATCTCTGGACTCGTCCTGAGAATTGCAGAGGATACATATGGCAGGGACATCGAGACCTCATCTTCTCAATCTTTCTCTTGTGTGCAGCCTGTTCCACACAAGTAATGAAGGCATGTTTGGGAATAAAGCCTTTAAACCACACAGATTTGGCCCAAGGAACAATAGCGAGAGAGGGATTTAAGACCAGCCACGCTTTTGCCGTACATAATCTGTTTGAGGGAGCATGATGATCCGGTTTCCAAAGGTATGTATCATCATGCTGGAAGTCAAGCATATTCTCGCAACCGGGCAGGACATATCTGAGCATATTAATAATAGGATTCTTACTTCTGGAAGAGGATATCCACCAAGCAGTACATCTGACCGCATCCCTAACCACAAACTCCAAGGGTAAACCGGTTACCTCCGGTCCAAGAGGGATAGTGATGTCAATTAGGGGGCCTAAACCCGTCCAATTGTCCAGCCAAAACTTTGCGGTAGCTCCAGACCCCACCTCGCATACAAGAAAAGGTCTGGCAATGGGCCGTAGCTTGCAGAGTTTTCTCCAAACCCAGCTACCAGAAGAAGCCGGATTCAAAGTTCAGAAGCTGCGGTTCCCAATTAAATGCAGCCTCACGCAGGATACCCACAAGGAGCCAGCTGCAGTGAATAACAACCAAATCAACTTGAGAGCAAGTACATTATTCCAAGAAGATAACCGCTTTAATCCCAAACCGCCACTCACTTTTGGAGTGAAAATAACCTCCCAAGAAATCTTGGCTCCTCTAGCAGAGTTCGGAGTGCCTTTCCATAGGAAAGCATTACACATCTGCTCAAGCTTGAGAAGGCATTGGTTTGGGAGAATGAATATAGCAGCCCAAAAACTGATCGTAGAGTAAATCACTGATTTCAAGAGTTGTAACCTCCCAGCAAAGGAAAAATGTCTTGCTGTCGAGGATGAGAATATGTGATTAATCTTATCGATGAGAGGTTGAAAATCATGCTTCCTCATCTTGTGGGCTGTGAGGGGAACACCCAAATACCTTACTGGAAGTGCCCCATTAGTCGGACCAAACCTCTCAGAAACCAGCATGTTATTTTCAAAATTCCCTCCATCAAGCAAAAGAACCGTTTTCTGTCTCTTAATTCCCAGCCCAGATCCTTGTTTAAAGTCTTCGAGAATGTGTAGAATACCCGTAATAGAGGTCTCAGAACCGTCGAAAAACACCAAAACATCGTCAATAAAGCTCAGATGTGTGACTAACGGAGCAAAACATTTTGGATGAGGCTGAAACAAACCATCCACCGCACCTTTATCCAATGACCGGGGCAAGAATATCCATAACTAAAACGAATAGATGAGATGACATGGGATCACCTTGTCTAATCCTTTTCCTTCCCTGGAAGAATCCAATTAGTTCACCATTAAAAGCGATGCTATAAGAAGAAGAGGATATGCAAACCCTTATCTAGTTAATGAAAACCTCAGGAAGATACATGGCAGTGAGGATATTGATAAGAAAATCCCAATTCACATTGTCATAGGCCTTGGATAAATCGATCTGGGAAATCAGTCAACATTTAATATGATTTATACTAATTGTAATTTGGCAAGAGAAAATAGAAATATTACAGTAAATATAGAAATCATAAATTATGATACTCGAATATATTAAAACTTTCGTATTGTTAGTTTACTTAATTAAAAACTACAATCTGCGAAATTTAAGAAAAGAACCGATAGAAAAAATTTCGGGTCGAAAAAGAAAATCCGACCCGATTAGATGAGCAAATATGTATTTCAAAAATATTATGAGAAAAAACAAATTAATTTAATAATTTGGATATAAAAAAAAGTATAAACTAAACCATACATACAAAAAAAATGTATTAGAAAACAAAAAACATTACACATGAATTACATTATATAAGAAAATATATGTTGTAATTTAGTAACAAAAAATCAATATAAAAAAACTCGTAAATATTTAACATTTTTAAAATATTTGAAAACATAATATTTGGTTTAAGGAATATCTTTTAAGTTTGTTACTCTGATTAATGATGTTTTCTTGATTTTTTCATTAAATTCTTTTCATTAATGCTTTAATTCGTTTTTTTGGTAACTCTTAGCAAAGATTCAATTAAATTATTTCCGGGTCAAAATTAAAAAAATATCCGACCCGATTGGATTCCTTAAAATGTACTTCAAAAATGTTAAGTAGATTGATAATGAATGATAGTTATGATGCGTTATTGTGTAGGTAAATATTCGATACTTACTTTATTCGAATGAATATTCATTATTATTGTTTACGAAATTTTTCTAATTAATCAGTTACAAAATTATTTGATTAAATTGTTTAGGTAATCTTTGAAAATCCGTTTGATGACCCATTGACCCGCATGATTAAGAAGTGGGTAATGTTAGTGGCGTGGATTAATTATGTTTATAATTAGAGATTTGTAATAACATATAATATAACTTTTTACATTTTTCAATGTTACAACTTATTGATGTACTTTTCAAATAATAGTAAATGATAGATTGTCGGCAAAACAACAATAGCATCATTCTTTTTTCATTTCATGGAATATATACATCACTTCCATCTTAAATAAAGGTAGACGAATTGAAAACACAAAAAGGCCCAGTGGAGTGGAGGACAAAAACAGAATCAGATTCGAAATTATTGTTATTGGGCCAAATGGGCCTTTCTCTTTCCTTTTAATATGCTTTATAATTCACACAACAATCCTCTCATTACACACACTAACGTTGATTCTTCTTCTTCTTTCTCTTTCTCATCTTTCTCAAAAACAAACCAAAAAAATGGCAGATCAGCTCACCGATGATCAGATCTCTGAGTTCAAAGAAGCTTTTAGCCTATTCGACAAAGACGGAGATGGTTCTACTCTCTCAGATCTTTCCTCTTTCGATAATTTTGATCTATAATCATTGCTTCACTTAGTATTATTTAGTAATGGCTTTTCGTTGTTCATAGAATCTCTGGATTTGACATTAACACGAGATTTGGTGATTTCTTGATCGTTCGTTGATTATAATCGCAATTGGATCTATCTCGTTCATAATCTCAAACTTAATCGAGTTTTCGTTTTCCAGATTTTACTAATAGTGATTAGAATTACTCAAATATTTGAATCAATGGATGTGAATTCAATAATCGAAGAAATTTGAAGATTTTGTGTTGAATTGATTCAGTTATTTGAGTAGATTATGAAATTTGTGTTAAATTGATTCAATTGTTAGAGTTCATTACAATGACATTTGAAGATTTGGTGTGTTATTAAAGTAAATTACAACGAAATTTGAAGATTTTGTGCTAAATTGATTTGAGTCATTAGAGTAAACTATAATGAAATTTGAAGATTTGGTGTTAAATTGTGTAGATTAGATTTGGTGTTAACAATTTTTGATTAAACTATAATGGGCATTTTTAACAATTTCTCAAAATTATTTGATTATATTGTTTAGGTAGTCTTTGAAAACTCGCAATTGGATCTATCTCGTTGATAATCTCAAGCTTAATCGAGTTTTCGTTTTCCAGATTTTACTAATAGTGATTAGAATGACTCAAATATTTGAATCAATGGATGTGAATTCAATAATTGAAGAAATTTGAAGATTTTGTGTTGAATAGATTCTGTTATTTGAGTAGATTATGAAATTTGAAGATTTGGTATTAAATTGATTCAGTTGTTAGAGTTAATTACAATGAATTTTGAAGATTTGGTTTGTTCTTAAAGTAAATTAAAATGAAATTTGAAGATTTTGTGCTATATTGATTGAGTCATTAGAGTAAACTATAATGAAATTTGAAGATTTGGTGTTAAATTGATTCACTTATTTGTGTAGATTAGATTTGGTGTTAAATTTGTAGCTGATTTGAGAGAAATGTGTGGTTTTGTTTAAGGTTGCATCACGACGAAAGAGCTAGGAACAGTGATGAGATCATTAGGTCAAAATCCAACAGAAGCAGAGTTACAAGATATGATAAACGAAGTAGATGCTGATGGTAACGGAACCATAGACTTCCCTGAGTTTCTCAACCTTATGGCTAGGAAGATGAAAGATACTGACTCTGAAGAAGAGCTCAAAGAAGCTTTCAGGGTTTTCGATAAGGACCAGAACGGTTTCATTTCGGCTGCGGAGTTAAGACATGTTATGACTAATCTTGGTGAGAAATTAACTGATGAAGAAGTTGATGAGATGATCAAAGAAGCTGATGTTGATGGAGATGGTCAGATCAATTATGAAGAGTTTGTCAAAGTTATGATGGCAAAGTGAGGAACTATTCTCAATCTTTTATCTCTTTTTTTTTTTAAGATTGAATTGAACAACTTTATTCCTTGTTTGACTGTTCATTATTATGCATTCGTTCCAAATTTCATGTTATGAGCTATTGTGTGACTTTGGGTTAATTATTTGTTTGGAAAAATATTTTAAAATGTAATGTTTTTTTGTGAAGTACCATTGAAATGGTCGTTGAAAAAGCTATCTCTTGGTATTTTAGTGGCTTTTGTTTTTTTTTTTGGTGAGCTAGTGGCTTTTGTTTTTTGGATCAAAACTCTTGATATTAGTATATTTAGAATAATATTTAAGGGGAAAGTGTTGAAAAAGATTTCATATTTCGATGAGTTCTATAACTAAGATGATTATTGTGTGGTTATATTTGTAGGGAAAATGTCGGAAAAACATTATAATATTATATGGGTAAATTCTAGAATGCTAATTTCGAAAGTTTGGTGGTTTAAATTTTAAATCATAAATTTATTTGTTTTAAAACTAAATTAAAAAATATTGGTCAAATCTTTTTTTTTGGCATTAAAAAGGTTGGTCACTTTTTTTTAGAGGAAAATGTTGGCAACTCAACTCAAATTCATATTCGATTTTCATATCATACGATTCACATAATGCAAAATATTTTAAGAAGATAAATAAAATATACACACATAAATAAAATATTTAAAAAAAAAAATCAGAGTCATGTAATTTAGGAAAAACAAAAAAGGTAAAAAGCATAACGTCCATTTCATTTTATTTTTTCTTTCAAAATTCCCAGCTTTAATTTTCTGTTTTTTTCAACTTCAAATTTCAGCTTTGTAAATAACATTCTTTTTTGTTGATTCATTAAATTTAAGAATTTCTTTATAAAAACAAACAAAAAGCATGCCTATACTTTTCTCATGTGGACGTAATTGTATAAATAAAAAGCAAAGATATGTTTAGAAGAATAAAATCATATATGGATGGTAAGCAGCAAAAGCCAGATAGTTGAAATGAGAATCTCAATTTTTTTGGTAACTAATTTACTTCTTTTTCTTTTAAATAATATCGAATCTTGATACCTAATTCTTTAAAAATGATTGTCATTTATTAGGAGAAGAGGGAAGAGGATTATGACAACTAAGCGTAGTAGCAATTCTACTGAAAACAAAGACAAGAACGGTCGCCGGAAAAGTCACTGCCGTATTCTCTGAGCTCCGACTATTTTCTTCTTAATTCCTTTACTTTATATGCTTGTGTGTAATAAGAGATTTGTACCTCACACACCCATTAAACGGATTTTAAATGTAATATCGTGTTTGAATATAAATTATAAATAATTGTTAAAAATGTCCCTTCTGGTGTGCCCCTTTTCAAAAATGCCCCTTTTAGATGTCTATTTTCAAAAATACCCCTTTTTAAATATGAAAAATTTCTAAAAATTTTATTAGGTTTATAAGGTACTTATGGATGGTAACTATTACTTGAAGACTCGATCCAAGTATTTATAAGATTTTATAAGGTGTTTTTAAAGGTTTTACAAAATATTTTAAAGGTTTTTCAAAGGTTTTACAAGATATTTTAAAGGTTATGACAACTAAGCGTAGTACTGTAGTAGCAATTCTACTGAAAACAAAGACAAGAACGGTCGCCGGAAAAATCACTGCCGTATTCTCTGAGCTCCGACTATTTTCTTCTTAATTCCTTTACTTTATATGCTTGTGTGTAATAAGAGATTTGTACCTCACACACCCATTAAACGGATTTTAAATGTAATGTCTTGTTTGAATATATTAAATATTTACTACATTGTTATGTTTTCAAAATATTATGTTTCTTTATCCGGAAAAAAAGCTACTAACAAACAAAAGGTTTTAAAATCCTGTGTCACAATGTTTAGTTTTGGTCTACAACTTACATACGCATACTATCAAATTTGAATTATTATACGGTACAAAACACTATGGTAGATACACGACCAATTAGGAGACAATCGTAATTAACTAATACTTTGGCGATCTAACTATTATAATTTCTAAGTTGATTTAGGCGTTAGGCATTTGCTATCTATCACAATGTGGGCATAGGAATTATCCTGAACTTCTTTTCATAAAGCTTTTTGTTTTATGTTAATTTGTTTTCAGAACCAAAAAAATGTGTTGGCCCTATCTAAGTTTGGGTTTCTCTTCTTAGTTCTTTTACAAGACACTTTCCCTTGATGGAGTAAGGCCAAAACACAAGATTTGCAATCAAGATAGAAACAAGACACATCCAAAGTAAAAATTGTAGTAAAGTCGTCGGAGGCGAGCTTCTTGCAATGAGTACCTCGCAGACATCGGGAACTGAGGGAATAGAGAGTTGTCAATCTGGAAGAGTTCGGTCGACCATTCTTCTAAAGCTTATCCTCCTTTGTCTATTAGTGTTTTGTTCAATGATCAAAAAGTACTATTCCAAAAGATTTGTTCGTCACTTAAGACTTAAGAGTCTTGAATCTCATTGGTCATTCTTCTCGTTGACTCTCTCATCTGTCTCTTCAAACTTAATATGACCATTTGTTTCAATATCAAATCAATCAATGAACTTTCAATCATTCTTCTCTTTGACTCTCTCTCCCATTACGAATATTAATCCAAATACTAGTTTATAACACCAACTGCATTGAAAGTTCGAAACACTTTGTGTTACTTAGTTAGTAATCAAACATTAAACACTTCTACCAATTTGAGATTAACATGGCAACAACCAATATCGGTTATATGAAGACAAAATCTATCGCTTATATTAATCCGTTAAGTATAATCCTCAGATGCAACTAATCGTTCCCTTTCTCTATGGGACAAAATGGAAATCATATGGATAAGAAACAAAAGAAAAAAAAAAAGAGGTGTGTGAAAGGTTCATGATGCATATACATGAAATGAAGCTTTAGGATTCATGCAAAACGCTTTAGCAACACATTTCATCATTTTGTATAATATCTAACTAGTAAATTCTCTTCAAAATATTCTAGTAATTAATTTATTTATAGATAGGGGATTAATATAAAAAAATACATCTAGCAATATTTATTTTTTAACATGGCAATAATATCCAAAGCTAGGAATAGCATCCATTGCTTTTTTTAGAATTTTCCTCTTATGCAAGTAATCCTTTCCTTTCTCTACAATATTTTTCATTCCATAGTTCATATATAGAAAAAGCTCCAATTATGAGGGACAAAATGGAATACTTCTAGACAAAAAATAATGGAAAAGTTCTTTGAACGGGCCAATAAATTAAAAGATTAGTATAAAAATATATATATAATGTGTTAGAGAAGGAAAGCAAAAAAGATGTGTGAAGAAAAATCTCATGCATATACAATGAAGTTGAAGCATTAGGGTTCATGCAAAATTTTATGCTCATCGGCTATAAATATATATCTTCAAGAAAACAAAAGATAGAATAACAAAAGATAGAGAAGATGGGGAAAACTTTATGGGCATTAATGTATGTAACGGTGATGATATTAATCATAGTTGAAGTGGAATCAAGTCTTCATAGAGTAGGCGGAGGAAGATACACTTGGAACTCCGACGTTAACTTCTCCGATTGGGCCAACCACCAACGTTTCTACTCCGGCGACTGGCTTTGTTAGTAAAATTTCTTCTACTTTCTTCTTTGTTAATCCTTTTTCTTGACTAAAACATGTTTCTAAAATGGGCAGATTTCGGGTTCAATCGAACACGTCACAACATCCTTCAAGTAAACAAGAGTAGCTACGAGCAATGCGTCGACAACGATTACATATTCAACATAACACGAGGAGGACGAGATGTTTTTCAACTCCTAGAACCAAAGCCTTATTACTTCATTTGTGGTAGAGGTTATTGTCACAAAGGTATGAAGTTCGCCATCAACGTCCTTCCTCAACCACCACCATCAGCTCCATCCAATCCTCTCGGCTCAACCGCCACTCCTCTCATACCATCAAATGCTATCACCGCAGCCATTCTCACTTTCACCTTTAAAGCTTTACTACTTTGACTATGCTTATGTCGTTTCTTTATTGAATTGGGTTCAATGTATGAACTATTCCCAAACTTCAAAAGTTTTCACTTCAATAAGTCGCAAATCTGTACTTTTGACTAAGCTATGTCGTTTTGTTATTTTGGAACTATTGAAACAAAAGGGTTACTTCATAAACCATAGAAATATCCACTACAACAAGTCGTAAACACTTTTCTTGGACTAGGTTATGTTGTTACTTTTGGTTTCATTTTTAATGTATGAGCTCTACACAAAAGGATTTGCTTTAAGTAGGTTATGTAGTTTGTTTTGAATGAAAGAACTATTTAGACAAAAGGGTAACTTCCTGAACTTAGATATTCACTACAATGTCTTTAACCAAACAACCGAATAGTTAAAAGGGGCAAAAGCATATTCAAACCCCAACAGGCAAACAAGGCTGGCGATAATAGTCACAAAAAACATACCAAGCCTTAGTGTTTGATGCCTTAAACGCTTAAAGCCGAGAGAGATCCTAAGATAAAAGTCAGAAAGCTGATTTAACTACTACTTACTTACTGAGCCAAGTAGGACTGCTCATTTAACAGAAGAACATGGAGTTGGCGACGTTGTCTTTGAGTTTTGGGAGCTGTGCAACAGAGATTGGTCCTGGAGCTGTGATGCCACCATGGCTTGATGATGTCTCAGACTGATCTTCAAACTTCATGAACGTCCCAAGCTGTGCAGCTGCCAAGTGAGCATAGCAGATCGGCGCAACTGCACAAGAATTAAAATGTCAGTTATTAAAAGAACAAATGGAGACTTTAAAGCAATGGAGTAGAGAAACAAGTTCTGGTAATTACCAACAGAAATGGCAGTGGTGCTTCTTTGGTACCTGGAATTTTGCCAAAGAAAGAAATCAGATTTTTCCTGTGATCATCACAATCAAAGTTGTCACAAAACAAGTAATGAAGGTTGAGTGAGACTACATACACATAGGAGAGCGAGTGGACAAGTTCCTGAAGTTCATCAGGTGAAAAACCAATCTCATCATACAGGACGTGGTAGTGAGTTGGACGGGTAGTTCCCTAATTCAGAACATAAAAAGTGTTAAAATGATTCCAAAAAGCAAACACTACTAGCAATCAACAAATGAAGTTATCAGAGTTGATATATGATACTTACAATCATTCCTGCATGAGCACAGAGGTAGAAATCATTGTTCTTTGGGTGACATATTTTGTTGTCAATGATTGTCCCTGCGAAATAACCAAAACCATCATGAGATCAGGTATGTGTCAAAAAAGGTTATAATCAAGATTTATCAATCACCTGGGGGAACATTATCAGGAGACGATGTCTGGAAGAACTTTGTATGATGATTCTTTTGAGCTACCAACAAGAGGAATTTTGGGTTCCAATTCGCATCAAGGAGCTTGCAAGCCTGAGGAAAGAGAAATGCAATTAAGTACTAACAGAAGAAGAAAAATACGCTGAGAAACTTTTGGTTTTTTTTACTATTTCAACTACCTCGATGATCTGATCGAGTTCGATATTCAGAACCTGATTGAATTGAGATTCACTCACACCATCCCTAGGAGCATTAAAACATCGAAACAACGATATGAGAAAATAAAGAAGGGGAAAAATGAAGAGACAAAAGCTCTGATGTAACAAAGTAATTACCTGAAAATTATGATATGCTCTGGCTTTCTCTTATTCGAGCTGGTGTAGAAATCAACCAGCAACTCCCTGCAATCAACAAACAAAGTTACATAAATACTTCAAAACCAGACTTCATGCAAAGACTAAACAAAAACCACATCAAGAGTTAGTATAAGTGCACACTTGATGATGCCATCGTCTTCAGTTCCATTTTTCTTGAAAAGGGACTCAATCATCTCAGCCTTAGAAGGCTGTGTCCGAACAGATGCTCTATATTTGGAGATTAGTGGCCACTCCCTAGAACTCACCACCTAAGTAAATTATAACAAAAGAGACAACTAAAAATCAGTTGAAGATTTAGCCAAATTTAAAAGGCCAATATAAAAGCAAACAATATATAAGAAACAGTAGAGAGTAAACATATTACAGCAGCAATGGACGGGACATCAGACTGTCCAGGAGATCCATGTGAAACATCCATCCCAAGGATAATGGTTGGAACCTTGGAAATCACAGTGAAGGCAGGTGTACGCTCTACACTTAACATTGAGTTCAGGCCTCCAAGCTGTAATTATATATTATCAGAGATTGCACACAAGAAGCAAATGATCTATTCACAAAAGAGAATAAAGGACAGAGATCACCTTTGCATTAATCTTCAAAAGTAAGTTTGTAAGATACTGATCATTAGGTTGCCGCGTCGGAGCCATGCATTGAGTAACAATGCCGAATTCAGTTAAGTTTTTCTTCTTCCATGGACCTGATGAGGGTTTCAAAGTATTTATCCAAGGACACTTCTATTATACAAAAAAGAAGATCAAAGAATGGATTTAAGAGATATCTAACCATAGAGATCACAGTTCTTTTTCTCGGGGAGCACACATAGTATGAATTGTGGGACACCAGGGAGTTTAGACTGGATGTCCTTAAACATGTTCTCAACGCGATTAAGAGGAGGAGCACGGCGGAATTGATTACCCTCCTCAAACACTTGAAAGGGAGGAGCAATTTCCTGGGACAAAATAAAGAAAGCAGTTAGCATCTAAATTGTTGTTGATCACAAACAAGTTTTCAAGAATACGAAAAACAAAAGAAGAGAGTCCTGCTTACAATTCCTTTTGATCCTCCAATTTTGATCAGATCATCAACAACTTGACGTACATTACAGCGAGCAGAGAAATTGACAACAACCCATCGTTCAATTTTGGTGGGCTCAACAAATTGCTGTACAACAAAGGGAATCAGACTATCTGAACAAGTAAAATACAAAGAAAGGCAGAGAGATCAGCACCTTGTTGTTGAAATTCCAGCGACCATTTCTGGGAAAGAGTTCAGATCCACATCCCATTTTCAGCTGTCAGTCAAGGAAAACAAGAGAAATTAACTGTATGCAAAAGCTTCAAAACAATTTATAATGTCAAAAGTAAGCAATTGTACCATACCTTGGGAGCTGGTAGAACACGACCCTCCACCTGAGTAAAGTTGGAGCTGATCGAAATGCCACATGAACGCAGGAGTGGCTCAGCATCATAGTTGCTAACTTTCAGAGCCTGAAAGCATAAAACCAAAGATATATAAATTCCAGTTCACTGACAAAACACAACAGATATGAAGCAGTCAGGATGCTTTACTTTGGACAGAACAGTCATCCTCTCTTGGGGTTTCTGTCTGGATTTCTCAACAAGGGCAGATCTTTGGAATGTGTTAAGTGCTTTTGTGTACCTCTGAAGTGGAATCAAGGAGCAGAGCTGCGAAAAAAATCCACCACATTAGCATGATTTTTGAAAACAAATTACTACCATGAGAACGTTGATGAGTAAAAGGCAAACCTCAAGAGGAATGTAAGTGGGTCGCTTTGGCTTCCCAACATTGATGCACGGCAGATCCGCAGAATATTGCAAATCAATATGCCTTGTTTCACGGAAGTAGTCAGCAACCGTCACTTCAGTAATATCGAACTCGCCATTTTCATTTGGGTTCCTTTTCTTCAATTCGAACCTAGACAATGTAAAAAGCAAACTTCAGAGAACCATTTATATTTGAAAGGGATCACAATGTCAGAAAACTAAAACAGAAACAAATGCATCTCACTACAAAGTCAAATTAGTGAATATCTTACGTTTGTTCCCTGCAAGGCTTGTCACTCAATCCGGTGATCCTGAATTCTTGGTTTGAGGGGCTGACCTTAACCCTTAGGTTCTTAAGGGTTCTTTTAGCCTGTTGAAGGCAACATGTTAAAATGTGTCAAGCAAAGCAAAAAGGTAAGGAACATGTTTAGACCATGAAAAAGCCACATATCATGATAAGTAATTTACCTTAGACCAGTCAATCGAATAAGGATCCCTCGCATTTTGGTTAGCAATTAGGAAATCAACCACTGGACCAGGCTTGATGATCATGGTGGTTGTAACATCTGGCATAAGAACAAGACATAAACTATTAGACACTAAATCACTGCTACAAAAGACAGAATCAAACACCAACATCTAGTACAAGTGAAATTATGTACCCATATTAAGTGACATGCCACCCTGCGTTGTTCTGAAACTGGAGTGAAATCCCCTACATCCTAAGATGTTACCACCAACTTGTTCACAGTTACTTGGATCATTGTGGAAAAAAGACTGTCGAACAAGCAAGCAACCTCTGCAGTTTTTACCAAAGATATTAGAAAGACAAAAATATATGAGATAAAAAAGGAATCTATACACTTGGCACTTACTGTCTAGCAGCATGTTGCCTCAATATGATATCAAGAACCCGTATTGCCTCCTGGGAGTTCTCTGATTCTTGTCCCCGCATTGCATTAGCAAGAGCTTGTAGAGGAATTTTGGCCGCATAGCTGATCTCCACTCTAAAGTTTTTGGCCCGGTTAGGCCTACGCAGTCTTTTCCTATCACCATCACTTGGACTTTCATTCCCATTGGGGCTACCGTTTCCATTCGTCCTGCTCATAAAATCTTCAATAAGAACCAAAACTAAAGCACACAACCAATGTGATGACTATAGTCAGATGATGTTTTACCTTGCAGCAGATACTTCCTCAAGCACCACAGAAAAATCCATCTTGTTATCAGGCAAAGCTCCATATGTAAACAGCGTCTTCTCACCGTCATAAGCAAACTCTTTACCATCTAGATCAGAATGGTAAGTCTCATGCACCTTGTCAAGGATTTTTCTTCCAACCCCCTTTGCTTCAACAGGACGACCATCATCATAGAATAGCGCAACCTGTACAAACCAACAATTAATCCCATTAGTTTGACATCATTCAGAACCAAATAACAGAATAAGCAAACACAGCAGTAACAAGAAACATACACAGTGCATCCATTAGTTTGACATCATAACACAACAAGGTAACTAAAAATGCACATAAAGTTTCAAAAACTTACACTGTAGTGGAAGAAATGGCCCTGAAGATTAGCCACATCGACTTTGAAATGATTAGTCAACAATGGAATCTTTTGTCCCCTTGTTCCAAAGCCTTTTCTAGCCATAGGAACTCGCAAGTTCTTCTTCTCAGCAAGTTCAGTTTTAACACGAACTGGTTCCACATTTGGAGGTATAATTGGTGGAGGAGGTGGTAATGCATCAGTAACCACCCCACTCCCGTTTGCTCCATTTGCTGATTCAAGATCAGCCCCGTTACCATTTGTTGAATCCATCTCCTGCACAAAGAAACCACACAAAATAAAAAAGTTTAGGTTAGGTTCCAACATTTATAAGCAAAATACATAATCTTGTTCAAAATCAAGCAAAAATTTCAACTTTAAGCAAACATCAAAGCAAAAAATGGCAACATTTGTGAAAGTTTGCAACTTTCCTTCATAAAACCCAAAAGAGAAGCAAAATCTTTGACTAAAACTAAAAAAGCCCCAATTTTTTTGTCGGATAAAGACGCATGCAAGTGTAAACAAACATGTACAACACGAAAAACGTCAGCTTTTCGTCATATATACTAACAAAAATAGCGTCAGCCATGTGAAAGTTCATAGCTTTATTCATAAGAAAAACCCAGAAAGGTGAGCATAACCTCAACAAAAATCCTACCTGTAGAACAAAAACCCACAAAATCAAAGAGATAAGCAAGAAAAATCCAAACTTTTCAACACATTAACTCTAAAATCTACAGAAGAACACTGCATGCGAAGTATTCAACCTTTGAGAGTAAAAAAAAAACCAAACTTTTTTAGTGGGTTCGCAAACAAAACTCCGAAAAGTTAAGTTTTTTAATTTAGAAAACACAGAAACCACACAAAAAGGCACAAACCCAGAGATTAAAGAAGCCACATTTCAAAGAAATACTCAAACCTATGAGCTTAACATAAACCCTACAGTAAAATCAAACAAAAAAAACACTCACAAAACCCTAAAATCATCACCTTTGAGTTTATCGATGAAACAAATACGAAACCCTAGCCGAAACAAGAGAGGATTTTTTTTCTTTCCTTTTTTTTTTTTCAATTTCTCTCTTTTGCTTTTTTACTCTCAAAATTTTGCTCCGAGCTGAGAGGAAAATAGTTCAGTGACAGAAGCATAAATCGAGGATTCTTCGCTTACAGTTATATTCCTCTACGACGCGGTTCCATCATAAGTAAAGCTGGTCTTACAATCTTGACCGTTCATTTTGTTGACTTTTGTTATTGACTTTGCTTTGTGTCCCGCTAGATTATTTTGAAATTTTTAATTTCAATTGGTAGTGGTAGACAAACCTTCTGTGTTCTAATATTGAATGTGCGCATTAATTGACACGTACATGCTACATAAATATGGTTTTAACAACTGTGTTATGATAATTAAAAATTATTACTTAAGCACAATATAAAATTAAGACAGTTTTATGTCTCCTAAACTATATAAATTATTATTGTTAATGAGGAATCTAATTTGTTTATGTGCTTCAGTATCGTTTATGGTTGATCCTCACTGGAATCCATTTTGATTATTGACTAGAAAAGTTTCTATTTTAATATTGAGACTCTCTAAGCGGCAATTAAAAAAAATCTAAATTGGTGAAATGGAGATTAGTTGGATTCAATTAAGAAAACTATATTTGGAGATGCTTCTTGATTTGTGATTAAGGATATAAGAGGAGAATATGGGAGTTGTTTCTTTTTTTAAGATCATTAATACATTGTATATAAACTTGAGAAATTATATGATATTCTTAAGTTACATAGTGTTGACAAATAGTTAAGTGTTTGACATTTGGAACTTACATAGCTAGCCAGCTGGAGAAGGAGAATATTACAATTATTCTCTAAAGTTTAACCATATTATATTACACACGTTTGCAAGTTAGCTATATGGTTAAAGATAGATGCACTTGGAACCAAAATTAACATGAGTTATGTATACACTTGAAATATGTATATATAGTACATTGTATACACTTGAAATATGATATATCATTTTTAGTTAATTAGTTAGTGTTGACATATAGTTTGAAGTGTTTGACATTTGGAACCTACATAGCTATTAGCTAGCTAGCTGGAGGACAAAGGAAAAAAAAAATTAGCTAGCTGGTGCATGGAAAAGGATATCTACAATTACCTTCTAGCTAGCTAGATGGCTAAAGACAGATGCACTTGGAACCAAAACTAACATGATACTCGACTTGAAGAGACTATATGTCTACATTTTGAAGCATATAAGACCAAGCACACTGGTGATTTTTTCTCAGTATCATTAGCCTAAAAACAATTTTATAATGGACCAAACCATATAATTGGGCCTGATCCGTATCAGTGGACTAATACTTGTGATATTCAGTTTCGTGTGACGTGGCAGAAGGCCGTGAATGTATTTTTTGGTGAAAACAGAGAAAAACAAATCATTTGCTCTTCTCTTCTCTCCTCTTTACGGTGAATCGCCGATTCTTCACAGACTTCACCTCTCTATTTTTTCTGTGTAGATCTAGGTTTAAGGTTTGGGTAGATGAAAATCTTGGTTTGTGATTATTCTTCTGTTGCTCTCGTCTTCTTCTACCTACTCCTTCCTCAGGCTTCTGCGTAGCGAAATAATAAATAAACAATCTTTGACATTTTTCCCCTTTCTACCTTCTTCTTCAATGGCATTGATCCAGCATGCTTTGGTTTCTGGGACCTCTGCGGTTCGATTGAGCTTCTCATCCTCCGTATCACCACCGTCGTCTTCTCCTCCGCCGTCAAGGGTTTCTCTCCAATTTCAGTCGGAGAAGAAGACTTGTTACCGGAGAATGATATGCAGAGGTATGGTTCAAGACGCCGTTCAAGGGATTCCTTCGGTTTACGCCAGAGAAATAGAGCGTCTCTCTGCTAAGGAATCACTTATTCTCGCCGTAAATTCTCCTCTTTTTATTTAGGTCTTCGAATTTCTTAAAAATTGAAACTTTCATTTTTAGGAATTGATTAGAATTAGATTGAATTTCGTATCTAGTTTTGGAAATCATTAGATTGCTTGGATGGATTCACAGTTTGAACTTTATCAGTGAATTTTTGATTGCTCTCTGTTACAGTTCAATGATTCTGGAGGATTCGAGGCTTTAGTTACAGGGAAGATCACTGATGTGCAAAGATTAATGTGAATGAGAGGATAACCACTCTTGAGCGCCTTAATCCAACTCCTAGACCAACCACGTAATTTGCTCTGTTTTAGGTAAAAAGGTAAACTCCAAAACTGCTTTCAACTTTAATTTCTGTGTGTGTAAAACTGAACACTTATTTTGAATATAGATTATGAAACTGAATTGAATAGAGATTAGAAAGTGCATACTTGAATTGAATTGAATTGAATACAGTTTATGAAACTGAACACGAGTGAAACTGAATTGAAACTGAACACTTGAATCTAATAGAGATTAGGTAGATATGCTTGAGAATGCAGTTGTCTTTAAATGGAACAATGAATACATATGAAGTAGATGGGAAATTGAATGACATCTTTGTAACTTATTGTTCTGTTTAATGTTCAATGCAAACTGTGAGAATAGTTTCTGCAATATTCATTGTGTCGTTGGGTTTTTTGTTAAGTATTTGTTTAGATATACTTAAAGTAAAATTAAATGGTGATGAGACATTAGCCAGGTAGACTGAACTTATGATGATGGCTAGTGTCTCAGTGACTTCAATTACTAAACCAAACACATTAATACCTTATTCAATAGAAATTAGGTTGATCTTTATTGAGTCTTTGCCTTTATAATGACTCAATGAGAACTTAACAAACCACTTAAACTAAACTAAACACACAAAATGGCTTCCACCTTTAACTTTTTCTCTTCTCAGTCCTTTACCAATATGTTGTTTAGCCAAGAAGAAAACCCAACCCCTCTCAGTCCTTCACAGCCTCCTTGTTCTGAATCCCAAACACCCACAACCTTAGCTAGGGAATCCTAGGGCTTGAATGGATGAGTGGAGGAAAGGCATATCATCTGCTGAATGGGACGAACCACAAAATGACTTCCATTCAGCATTTGATTTGTTATTAGCAGTTTTTCCTTTTAAAATATACTAAAATAATAAATCTATATTTTGAACTGCAAGTGGTTCAAAACTAAGAACAAAATACTTGAACCACTCTGCACAGTAACAACGCAGGATAATTGGAGTATTCCATCACTACAAAAAATGATCATTTTATATCACTTATTTTGAATATTTGTATTACTTATAAGTGATGTAAAAGAATTTTACATTACTTAAGTAAATGATTTATATATTATTGATGCAAATAATTTACATCACTTGAAGAAAACATTTGCATCGATTATTATAACCGATGTTATTATGTATCAATTGCAAATAAATGATGTGAATTTTGCATCAATTAATATAAATGATGTTAGTATTAGTTTCGATTATAGTAAGTGATGTTAAATATTTATATCGATTGTAAACTATTGATGTTAAGATTAATGTCAGTTTTAATATTAATAAATGATTCGCAATTGTATCATTTACAATAATAGATGTTAAATGTTTTTTTGTCAAATACTGAATAACCGATTAAATTAGTTTTAGTTTACATAAATATTTCTAATAATTGTGTTCTTTTCATAATCAATAATTATAAATAAAATAATATATAAATCTTAAATTTCATTGAAGAAAACACATACATGGTTCAAAAGTCAAATACAAATTAAACCCTAAAAACTACTTTTGTTCCTTAATTCTCCAGTACATCAATCTCGAGTTCTCGACCAAGCCTTAAATATCATACTGAAACTCCTTTGGATTTTCACCATCAACGGTGAATCACAATATGTCTCTGTAATTTTCCGAGAGATCTAGGCTTAAAAAAAAATGTTTCCATTGTGCTTTATGTTTTTAACCATCTCACGATCTCTCTCTGGTTCCTTGACGTTGAAGAAAAGAGCTATAGCAAATAGAACCACCGTGATCTTAGCCTGAAGATTGTACACCGTTGGCGTTTTTTGCGATGTCTTCTCTGATTTTCTTAATTATGGGAGAGTCCGAGAGGAACGAGAACTAGCGGCTCCGACTTCTTCACCGGTTACACGAACGTAGACATAAACGATTAGGCTCGGTTTAACTTCGGCGACATGGTTTATGTTTCATTATTTTGGGGTTTCATTCTTCTAGGGAAAAAGAAAGAAGATAATGAAAAAAAAGAAGAAGTTATATCAAAAAGAAAAGGAAAAATCTATTATATTGGCCAAGGAAGCGTAGATTTCTAGAGATATTAGAGAAGTTAGGATTTTATGAAGATTCGTAATCGTGGGGAAAAAGTAAGTGGATATTCTATTTCCAAAAGAATGTTACACTATAAACTAAGTTAATAAAGAGGACGCCCATGAAGAAATTTGAAAAGAAAAAGGAATTGTTTTTGGATTGGCAATTAAAAACCAAAATGATGTAAGATCATAAAAGAAATGATGCTAAATTGTCAGTTTTTAAGAAGCGATAAAAAAATAATTATTTTTTTGATGTAATTAATATAAATTTTATCAGCATCACTTTTTATTGATGTAAATTATATATCATTTTCTTAAGTATGTTAATATAGATTAATAAACACATCAATTATTTAAGTGCTGTAAATTTATATATTTGTATCAATATGTAAAAGTGATACAAATTTATTTAGATTTGTATCAGTTTTAATCAATTGATGCCACACAAATGAATAACAACATCGGTTATTGCAAATGATGTTACATTTTAATATTTGCATCAATTATTAATAAGTAATTTAAAATAGTATCTATCTTAGTTTTGTGATTCAATTTAAGTGATTCAGTTCAACCTTTTTTTGTAGTGCATGTGCAGTTCGTCTTCTTTTTTTTTTTTAATCTTTTTTTTTTTACTTTTTAAATAATAAATATCAATATATCAATTACAATTAATCTCTAACATAAATATGAGACTCATTTGACCCAAATATTACTTTATATATCAGATAGTGATTTTTATTTTTACTTGCATTATATTATATATTTTTGTGAGTTATAATAATATGTACAGTATTTTGTAAAATATTTTATTTAAATTTAAAATTAATTTATCGATATTTTAGTGTATGTATAAAAATTTTAAATACATGTTCAAAAATATGTTAAACCATAATGCAAATTTATTTTAATATAACTGTTTTTAGTATGTATAGTTTATTTAAAATTAACATTTTTATAATGTAAATATTTCACCTGCATCGTCTGATCCACTTTCACCATTCAACACATATTTAAAGCGTTCGAACCACTTGATCCGCACTTGTACCGCCAGATCCGCTTGATCCGCATTAGTTCTGCTTGATACGCATGATCCGCTTGATCCGCATTAGTTCTGCTTGATACGCTTGATCCGCTCTTCTCGGTACGCTTTCTCCATTCAGAGTCCTAGAGTAAGATGGAGTGTTCCTGAAGAGAAGGCACTTGCAAGTGCCTGGCTCAACACATCCAAAGACTCACTTGTGGGGAATGAGCAGAGATCAGCAACCTTTTGGGATAAGGTTGGAGCATATTATGTTGCATGTCCTACTGTGTCTAAGCTCACCATTAGATAGGCAAACACTTGTAAGCATAAATGACAAAAAATGAATGAGCTTGTCATGAAATTTGTTGGCTGCTACGAGTATGCCTCTTGGACTCCTCGCAGTGGAAAGACTGAAGATGACATTCTAGTGTTGACCTACAAGCTTTACCACCAGGATCAAAAAACCAAATTCAGTCTTGAGCATGTGTGGAGAATCTTCAAGACTGATCATAAATGGTGCAATTGGTGTGAGACAAAAATCAAACCAGTCAATAAGAAAGCTAAACTTTCTGAGGTAGAAGAAGAGAGTGTTCAAAGGCCTATAGGGGTCAAGGCAGCGAAGGCTTTAGCCAAGTCCAAAGGTAAGGGAAAGAGCCAAGTTTTTGTGGTTGGTTCCGTGGCTGAACTTCATGGTTTGTGGAAAGTGAAGAAGAAAGATTTTGCTGTCAAAGAGAGACTCTCTAAGCATAAGCTCTTTGACAGCATTCTTGGAAGGTCTGATGATTTGAGTGACATGGAAATTAGCCTTAAGAACACTCTTATCAAAGAGTATCTGTTTGGAAGTAATGAGTTTGTATTTGAGAATGAGTATTCTGGTCTGTAGGTATGGATTGTGGGTTAAGTTTTTTGCTTACTTAATTATGTAAATATGTAGTATTATTTGATCTGATTGTCTTCTTTGCTTAATTATGTGTAGGAACTCCTCTGAAATCTAGTGGTGTAGGCAAGGAAGAAAAGGAAAGGAATCTGGTTCTCTGTTGCTTTAATGTAGGGTTGTATTGCTTTGTTTTATTCGGATGTACCAAACCATTTTCTATGGTCACAATGTATTGGTACTTTATTTTATATGGTCACAATGTATTGTATACTTTATGACTTTGTTGTATTGTCACAATTTCTCTTATATATATAAGTTCTGTTTGTGTTCAATACAAAACATACTTCTCATATTTCTATTACAAAACTCTTCTCATATTTCTCAAATTCCTCTCAATACACATTTGTCAATCTTCTTCACATTACTAAAATTTGTCAATCTCCTCTCATTACAAATTTCTTTGTCAATTACCATTACCATTACCAAAACTTATAATTTCTCAATCTCGTCAATTACCGTTACCATTACCAAATCTCTTTTAATTGTTTTCTTCTCAAAATTTCTTGTACCTTTTATTCTTCTAAATTTCTTGTACCATTTATTCTTCTAAATTTCTCTAAATTTCTTCTAACTTTCTTGGACGTTTTCGTCTTCTAAATTTCTTCTTGTAGGTTGCTTTTTATTTCTTTTAATTTCTTGTGTAAACAGACTTTGAGTTTCTTTTAAGTTTCCTCTTCTGAATTTATATTAAGTATCTATAACTAAACTTATAATTTAAGTATTCAAAAAGATATCTTCTTTTAACTTTTGCTTCTGAAAAAACAAATAATGGCATCTCATTCTAATGATGATGACACTTTTGATGATATTATGGAGGAAAAGTTTGAAAAATGTTTTGAATATGGTTTAGATAATTACAGTAGACGTGTAGCGGGAAAAAAAGAGAAAAAAGCTGCTAATATAGAGAGAGATCGCGAAAAAGGAAATGTTCTACTATGGAACGATTAATTTTTGGATGACCCCGTTTACCATGATTGCATGTTCCGACGACGATTTAGAATGAGCAAGCCGTTGTTCATTCGTATTGTTCAAAGTTTTTGTCAATTTTCATATTTCTAACAAAAGGGGGATGCTACTCGAAAGCAAGGTCTATCTGCCCTACAGAAATGTACAGCTGCAAATCGGCGTCTGGAATATGGTCTTGCAAACGATGCGATGGACGAATACGTCCGCATGGGGACAACCACTGTGAACCAAGTCCTAGAGTATTTTGTAGATGGCATAATAAATTTATTCCAAAATGATTATTTGTGGAGGCCTAAACTTGAGGATCTCCAACGATTACTCCATTCTAGAAAGGAACGCGGATTTCCGGGGATGGTAGGAAACATTAATTGTATACATTGGGAGTGGAAGAATTGTTCTACGGCTTGGAAAGGCCAGTATTCACGCGGACATGGAAAACCCACTATCGTTTTAGAGGTCATGGCATCACAAGATCTATGGATTTGGCATGCTTTTTTTGGGACTCCGGGTATGTGTAATGATATAATTGTTCTTGACCGCTCACCGGTGTTTGATGATATATTAGAAGGTCGAGCTCCACGAGTCAGTTACGAAGTCAATAGACATCAATACAAAATAGTTTATTATCTCACATATGGTATATATCCGAAGTGGGCAACATTCATCCAATCAATTCCCCGACCACAAGGACCGAAAGCATCATTATTTGCTAGTTGTCAAGAAGCAGTGAGAAAAGATGTCGAGCGTGCTTTTGGAGTCTTGCAGGCTCGGTTTGCTATTGTTCGAAACCCAGCTCTGTTTTGGGATAAAGAGAGAATGGGCAAAATAATGAGAGCATGTACCATATTGCACAATATGATTGTAGAAGTTGAACGAGACCAAGAGACTCAGTTCGATTTATCTGATTTTGTACAAGACGAAGGGAGCGGGACTTCTCATGTGGACTACTCTTTTTCTACAAAGGCATCTACAAATGTGAACAATATGATAGCCAATCGAGCTCACATTCGTCAAGAAAAAACGCATCGACAATTGAAAGAAGATTTGATTGAGCATATTTGGCAAAAATGGGGCCTAAGGTAATTGACTCGTGGCGACTAAATTATCTTTATCATCATGTTTTTAATGTTTTTTTTTTTGAATTTTACGTTTTTTTTGCTAAAGTATATTCTACGTTTTTATGGATTGTAATATTACCTTTTGTAATCTTATGTTTTTATATATTTATTTTCGATTTTGCAAATAATTTTTTTTTTATTAATGATACCAATATTGGTCTCATTACTGGAAACAAATTTACTACCAGTATCATAAAAAATCTTAAACAATAAACAAACATTAAATTAATACTAAAAAATTGTTAATGATACTCAATGAGTACGAACTATGTGCATGCTCTAAGATTAAGAGAGGTGCTTGAGTTATGTTTACATTCAGATCCAAAGAAAATTGAAAGAAAACGATTTCTGACCTAGCCATCTAGCAAGTGATATTTAGGATACTTTGTAACTTGAATTTGTGTGCATTGTTTCTTAATCTTTGTGATGATATACCAAACACTGATTTTGAATTGGTTAAGTTAGAGGCTTTTACCTCGAAAATATGTAAATTGCATGATTTCTAACATCTTGATTGTTCACAGTTTTATCTATATTGCATTCTTGCTTATTTGCTCATTTTAGCACTTTGTTTAGTTTAGTTTTCAATTAACATACTAGTTTAATTGCTTTAATTTACTCAGTGTTTTGCCCTTATTTTACGTCTACGCTAACGTATAATTAGAAGTTCTAACTAGTAGTAAACCGTATTTTCTCATACCATCTCAGGTCCAAATGGTTTCATCATAATTTAGTGGGTTATGACATTACTATAATTACATACCGTGCAAATGCGGTAATGAGTATTTATGGTTAAAATTTTATAAAACCTGAGTAGACAAAATCAATCACATTCGCAGTTAAACAGAATCAGGAACATAGAAAACTTGTTATTACATAACTTTATTTACCTTAAAAACTTAGTCTTATTCATGATCATTGGATAACTTCATTAGCTTAAACAACTTCCACAGACTCAAGAAACAGAACTTAAAATTTCACACAATGATTAGACCAAATCAAAGTCATCAAGAAAATTTGTACTCCGTCCTAGAGATACAAACAAACAAACAAACAAAAGAACTCACTTGCAGCTCCTTCAAGGCTCTTGGAATTGCGGCAAACCCTTTCCACGTATACTAATTTTTGGCCCTTCTTAACAAAACCCAAACTAGACCAAACTCTTTTACTCGTGCAGTTGTACCGTGTGTTCCAATTTTAGGGTCCGATTTGTCTCATTTCCTCTGATCTTGTTGTTAGCCCGAAGTAATGTTTTGGTCTCGTGAGCTCTCAATTGTTCTAGTGGTTTCTGAATCTGCTCTTCTCTCCTTGATGGGCTTTATTATGATTTCTCTGGTTCGGTCTTGTGTTATTCTTCTCCGAGTATAATGTTTGTCGGTTTGAGGTTTGTTTAGCTCTTTGTCTCTATAATCAAGACATGATCGAGATATGGTCAGTTCATGGCTTCTAACGAGGCGTCAATTGGTTGTGGAATTTGACAGCGCCTCTTCTGGAAAATCTTTGGGATTGAGTTTCATATGTATTTTGCATCTTTTTTTTTTCGAAACTGCAGTCTAGATTCAATCAGTTTGAAAGATACATGCTTTCACTATAAATGTTTTGTTAGCTACATTATAGACTCGTTTATGTGTTTTTTTTTGTAGTTAGTTTTGTTTATTTATTTATTTGGGGAGTGAGTTTGGTAAGTTGTTTCTGTTTGGGTATAAACTTATCTTTTGTTTTGTCTTTTGTGGATTGTAAATTTTTTATTTTATATATGTTCTCTTTAATTTAGAGTTTTGTTTACCTTTTAGCAATATGTTTACATGGATTAAATTGTTTTTTGTCGACGTATGTAATTTTCACTTGTATCATTCTTTCATGATAATTAAAATTATGACAAAAAAATCCATATTAAAAGAAAAAACTAAACTTACTTTATTAGAATTTTTTTAAAAATACTAGTAGTTTGAAAAGATAAAAGAAAATGACTTTGGATTGTGATTTAAATCATGCCTCAAAAATTTTATTTTATCAAATTTGTGATTTAAATTTTGTAAACCCGTTTTTGATATTGATCAGTGTTAGCGTTTTTTAGCGGTAAGGCTTGATTGGTTCTCCCGCTAGCACCCGTCTAGCGGTTGTTAGCGGTTGGTTGCGGTTGGTACCAATCATAGAAACCGTTCTATACCGCTTCGAGCCGCTCGAAATCACTGGAATTCAAAAACTCCTTCCTGCAAGCGTTTGCCGTTGCGGGCGGTAGCGGTTGGATATATAAAAAAAATCAAACGTTTACTTATTATTATTATAATATATATTAATCTTATACACTATATATCTTTCATCTTTGTATCACGTTCTCAACAGAAAACCCTAATCAATATTTTGAAACCCTCTTCTCTCAATTATGTCTTCAACCCAAACTGATGAAAATCAAAAACCCAAAGAAGAACCCAAAATCAGATTTCTAAGTGGTGCTCAAAGGAAAAATATTCTTAAGAATATTAACGACTGGTTTGGAATTGTTTTGAGTTGGAACTGTGTTAAAAATCGTTTCGATACCTTGAAAAAACTCTATAATATTTATAAAAGAAATCCGGAAAATTAGCGAATTTAACATTATTTGCAGTTTCTCCCATTACTTGATGCAATTTTTTGTGTTAAACCAGATGCATAAAGTACTATCTTGTTACAAATTTTTTTTATTTTTGAATAATTATTTAGTACTTTATTTATGGTTTTAATTATTAAGCATGTTCAATATTTCTATATTATCATAATAATATACTGTATTGGTATTTTTAATTCTTTTTTAGAAATATTTTTTATTTATTGTGGTCATTTTTTTATTTAACAGCTATCGCACCATCTGGTTTATCAGTCATAAAGCCTCCCGCAAACGCATCCATTTTCAAACGTTAAACCAGTCGTTTAAAACGCTTGGTAACGCTTGAACCTGCAACCGCACGCTTCCGCAAACTCCCGCAACCGCAATCGCATCCCCTGCGTTTAAACCAGTCATGCCGGTAGAACCGGTCCGAATAACCGGTCTGGTCCTGTCTGGTTATCAAACACTGCAATTACCGCATCTTGGGTTGTAAACCGGACCGACCATGAATTCACTTTGATCCTAAAATGTCAATCAATGCTCATTTTTTTATTATATTTTTGGAGAAAAGTGAGAAAAAACTGGATTTTAATCTCTCCAGCCCCTTTAGGGGGAATCAATTTTTGGAAAACCCCTCTTTATTCTCACTACCCCCTCTCCTTCCCAATTTTTTCATAAACCAACTTTACCCCTTATCCCTTTAATTCTACATTTAATTTAATACCAACACATTTTTTATTCAACCAATCAAAAACTTTCTCTCTCTTCTCTCATTAAAAAAAAAACCTACCAAATGTCTCACCTTTTACGACATTAAACCTAGTATGAGACTTCTTCTTCTTCTTCTTCTCCATCTACCATTGAAGCTCACCATTAAAGCTTGCATCTCCAAAGACATATCTCTTCTCTTCTTCTTCTTCTATTCCCACCATACTATAAGGTAAGTATACTTGTTTTGTTAGTGTAGTATGATTAAGTTGAATTCGTAGCTTGAATAGGGTTATTTGTTGAAATATTTTAGGATTGCAGATTTGGGACAACTGAAACCACTGGGTACAACTAAGTAGAATATTTACGGAAACCCTAAGTTTGGTGCAACTGGGACAAATGTGTACAACTATGTTGATGGTCTGCTACGAAAGTTGTTAAATTATAGGCCGTTTTTTCTCTCTTTCTTTTTCAGGGACAATGAAGAGGTCGCAGAGATCGAGCGGTTTGGGCGAGTGATTTACCAATGATGATGACGTTGATGGAGACGATGCGGGTGACCAAGATTGATTTCCGAGTGCCATTTATTAGGATAATTTAAGAAACGATGTTGTTTGTGAAACTTATATGGTCTGTGTTGTACAACTAAGTTTTACAGGTATAACTATTGTTGATTTCCTTCTCGTATCTGTGCAAATTTTGTCAGTCTTGGTACAACTAAGTACCACAGGTACAACTAAGTACCACAGGTACAACTAAGGTCTATTGCATTGGCCAATTTCTAGAATTTTATATAATATGAAAATTTAAAACCAAACTAAAAAAATGCATACACGATGGTAATGAAACTACACAACAAGTTTTTGACAAAAAATTTCATATTTTTAAAAAATACTAAAATTCTTACTCAAAATCCCACATTCATACACTAACAACCTTATACTTTCATGGTTACTTTGTAGATTTGAACTAAAAATTTATAAATTTTTGAAATACTTGTATTTTGATAAATATAAATACACAGATACATAGTAATGATATTTTTATGAGGCAATACCATTGGTTCCACCCACAAAAATTAAATTAGAGTTGATAACAACTAGATTTACTAAAATCTCTATATTGTACAACTATGAGAAAAAATGTGCAACCGAGTACAACTGTACAACTATGAACAAATTTCTGCTATTTTTTAATTATTTTTTTTTCAAAATAACGGCGCCAGGTACGCCATTTGTCAGACATTTTTAGATATTTAGATATTTCCAGATATTTCACTGTTTTTTTTTATCAAAAACCATACAAACCTACATATTTGTCAGATTTTTTGAATAATTTAGATTTTTTTTTTTGGTTCAAAACCCTTACTTTATATTCAATACTTAGATTCATACATAAAAATATTAAGATTCAGATTCAAAGATTCATACATAATTAGATTCAGATTCAAAAATTTATACATAATCAAAAAACATAAACCCAGAAACATAGTTGTACGTGATCGTACCAGTTGTACCTAAACACTTAGATTTATACATAACCTTAGAAACCAAATTACAAACCGAACAATTGTTACTAAAAACCATACAATATATCTAAAACCACCAACAGACCTTCTCCTTCCTCTTTTCATTCGTATACGGTTTGCTGACATGAATTGGAGGCTTAACTATCATTTTGAATTACAACTAACATTTCTTTTGGAGATTTGCCGGCGACGAGAGTAGAGTAGATCTCTGAGAGAAGAACGACGGAGGGATTCAGTGGGTTCTTCGAATTCGTCGTTCTTTTTCTTTGAGAGAGAAAACGAAAAAATTAAGGTGAATCGCCAAATGTTGTTCTCAAATTCTCTGCTTCATTGTCTATTATTTGATTTGGGCTTCTTCTCTATTTCTTTGACGACCTACTTATAATTGAAATCTGCAACCAAAAAACAAACAAGAAACTTCCATATAAAAATCCCAAGTCTTTGATAATAATTCCAATCAAAGCAAATCAAATTTGGCAAAAACATAATTAGATTTTCTTGATGATACGAGGAACAACAAGAGAAGGTTATGAACTCTTGATACCAGATAACCAATCTCTAGAGAACAGCAAGTCAATCTCAAAACAAAAAATTTCTATTTAGAATTATAACATCCTAACCTTAAGATCATTCTGAGTTCTCTCCCGATTCAATAATCTTCTTGTAGATTGACATAGCAAGGGGAAGAAGAGCCATGAGAGCAATCTGCAACTGTTATGAGCTGTTGGTTCGAACAGTGAAACGCCCATTCCTCTTGCTGTCAAGATTTACAAAAGTTGTTACCTTTGTTTGTCCTCCAACAGAGAGGATCTTGATGTCGTATATTGGCTTTGACGAGAGTAGCGTAGATCTACGAAAGAAGAACGATTCTTCGAGAGAGAAAAGGAAAAAAAAAAAAAAGATTAGGGATTCTCTTCAGATTGTCGATTTTGAGGATTTGGGATTAAAAGATCCGACAATGAAACCCAACATAGATGGATATAGATCCAAACTTAGGTTGGATATGTAATTATGTCCAAAAGCCTAAATTTTATTGTCTTTTACCAATTATTCGAGTTAAAATAAATAACTAAGTAAAAAGAATTTATAACGGGGGCTAAATAGAGAATCTTTTGAGAAGAGGGGGCCGACGAGATTAAAATCCGAAAAAACTGAAACGGTGCGACGTTATTAAATCTTTAAATCCCACCACCAAAGCATCTTCTTCTCTCTTTCATCTACGAACTCTACAAACCCAGAAACCACACAGTAATTAATGTCTCTTTCTCTCCATGTGATCTTTATTTGACTTTTCTTCTTCTTCTTCTCCATCTTAGAAATTGTGGGGATTGATCAAATCAAAATCAAGACTTCCTTATCTGTTTCTTTTTTAAAAACTATCTGGAAACAAGAGAAAGATACCACTTTTGGTGTTCTTTATCTGCAACTCTTTCAGGCAAACACTCTTTGTCTCTTTGCTTCTCTTATTATTTCTATTTTTATGTTTGATGACACTTTGATATTTTTGAATCTTTGGTTTCTCTAGATCGTTTGGTTTTATTGTCTATATACTATATTATTCATTTTGACGATCTGGGTATTGAGTTTGGTTTGATGATTCTTCATAAAGTTCGAATTTTTTTCTTCTTTTCAAATCAAGTTTATATTTTTGTTTTTTTGACTCTTAATCTTCTGATTTGTTGTTGTTAGCTTCTGGTGATTGAATATATGATCAAAGAAAGCTAAATAAGATTCTTTTTTCAGGTTAAAGAAGTCATGATGATGTTTAATGAGATGGGAATGTATGGAAACATGGATTTCTTCTCATCCTCGACAACTCTCGATGTGTGTCCATTACCACAAACAGAACAAGAACCAGTGGTTGAAGACGTCGACTATACCGATGATGAAATGGATGTGGATGAGCTTGAGAAGAGGATGTGGAGAGACAAAATGCGTTTGAAACGTCTCAAGGAGCAGCAGAGTAAGTGTAAAGAAGGCGTTGATGGTTCGAAACAGAGACAGTCGCAGGAGCAAGCGAGGAGGAAGAAAATGTCTAGAGCTCAAGATGGGATCTTGAAGTATATGTTGAAGATGATGGAAGTTTGTAAAGCTCAAGGCTTTGTTTATGGTATTATTCCTGAGAAGGGTAAGCCTGTGACTGGTGCTTCGGATAATTTGAGGGAATGGTGGAAAGATAAGGTTAGGTTTGATCGTAATGGTCCAGCTGCTATTGCTAAGTATCAAGCAGAGAATAATATTCCTGGAGGGAGTAATGATTGTAACAGTTTGGTTGGTCCAACACCGCATACGCTTCAGGAGCTTCAGGACACGACTCTTGGCTCGCTTTTATCGGCTTTGATGCAGCATTGTGATCCTCCGCAGAGGCGGTTTCCGTTGGAGAAAGGAGTTTCTCCACCTTGGTGGCCTAATGGGAATGAAGATTGGTGGCCTCAGCTTGGTTTGCCAAATGAGCAAGGTCCTCCTCCTTATAAGAAGCCTCATGATTTGAAGAAAGCTTGGAAAGTTGGTGTTTTGACTGCGGTGATCAAGCATATGTCGCCTGATATTGCGAAAATCCGTAAGCTTGTGAGGCAATCGAAATGCTTGCAGGATAAGATGACGGCGAAAGAGAGTGCTACTTGGCTTGCCATTATTAACCAAGAAGAGGTTGTGGCGCGGGAGCTTTATCCCGAGTCATGCCCTCCTCTTTCTTCTTCATCATCTTTGGGAAGCGGGTCACTTCTCATTAATGATTGTAGTGAGTATGACGTTGAAGGTTTTGAGAAGGAACAACCGAGTTTTGATGTGGAAGAGCGAAAACCAGAGATTGTTATGATGAATCCTCTAGCAAGCTTTGGGATTGCTAAAATGCAACATTTTCCCATAAAGGAGGAGGTCGCCACCGCGGTAAACTTGGAATTTACGAGAAAGAGGAAGCCGAACAACGAGATGAATGTTATGATTATGGACAGACCAGCAGGTTACACTTGTGAGAATGGCCAGTGTCCTCACAGCAAAATGAATCTTGGATTTCAAGACAGGAGTTCAAGGGACAACCACCAAATGGTTTGTCCATACAGAGACAATCACGTAGCGTATGGAGCATTAAAGTTCCATATGGGTGGAATGAAACCAGTAGTTCCTCAGCAATCAGTCCAACCGATCGACCTATCAGCCTTTGGAGTTCCGGAAAACGGGCAGAAGATGATCACTGACCTTATGGCCATGTACGATAGAAACGTCCAGAGCAACCAAGCTCCTCCTCCAGTGACGGAAAATCAAAGCATGATCATTGATGCAAAAGCAGCTCAGAATCAGCAGATGAGTTTCAACCGCGGCAATCAAATGTTTATGCAACAAGGCACAAACAACGGGGTTAACAATCGGTTCCAGATGGTGTTTGATTCGACGCCTTTTGATATGGCAGCATTCGATTACAGAGATGATTGGCAAACCGGAGCAATGGAAGGAATGCAAAAGCAGCAGCAGCAAGATGTGTCAATCTGGTTCTGAATATTACACACTCTCTGTAACATTCATTCTTTCATAATAACACTCTGTTACCTACTTACCTGACTTGGGTTTGTATTCTATTGGCACCAACACTCATCTATATTGTTGATGATGATGAAGCCATCTATTTTTTTTTGTGTGTGAAAGTCATTAACTCATTTCATGTTTAATAATCTCATTATCCATTGAACATGTTTTCTCATGCCACAAGTATTTCTTGAGTTTGAATGATTATTTGAGTTCTATGTTTTAATCTTTGGGTTTTTTCTAAAAAAAAACAAGTTTTATGAGTATCATTTTTGTTGGTTGTTCTCTAGTCAACTCAATTCAACAATCAATATTTTAAGTAAAACACATGGCTTAGCCATATAGTTAGGGCTATAAAAGCATTTATCTTATTTTATAAGTTATCTTTTTTGCTTTCATGCATGTAGAAAGTATATTCTCTTATAATGTGTTTGGTCAAACACAATTAAATAAAATAGTAACAGGTTGCCAACAATTGCATCAGTGTCGGCTACTGTGGCTTCTTCTTCACTACAGGCAAATTTCTCTAATGTAATTTTTTCTTTATCCACATTGTAATCCAAATTGGATATTTATATAATAATAAGGTGAAACAAGCCAAAAATGGTGAGATTGTTTTTGGGAGGAAGAGAAGACAAACGTTGTTGTCTCCTTTAGTTTGGAATTGGAGGACAGGCCATGTGATATGCCTTGTGAAACCCCACCACTCTTTTAGTCTCCTCATAGCCAAAGCTGACTACATTCATGCACCCATTTTTTGTTTCTTTATTATTCATTTTATTTCTTATATTCTGAACATAATAATAATAATGCAAAGATTTAAAATATAATTACCACTTTTAACTTAGTAATTTTTTTTAACTTAGTAATTTATGTAAGTGTTGTGATTATGCCATCATCTACATTTAATCCTTATAGTATATGACAAATTTATTTTGTCATTTAAAAAATAATAACAGTTCTTTTATTGGTAAAATGAGGGAGACAATGTCTCCTGTTTATTATGTAAAAATAAATAAATTACATTCGAACATGTCTCAGGGTCGTAGTTCCGTTAGCATCATCCAACGTAATTGAACTAACAAAATCAGACCTAATGGCCAAAAACTGAAAACCCAAAGGTAAGGAAAAGGCATAGTTAGCTAACTCATCCGAAAAGCGATTAGCTTCCCTATACACATGCGACACTCGCACTATCCAGTCATTCGATAAAAAGCCATAACACAGCCGTGCTAGGAAAGACAGTGGATGAGACTCACTAATCCCTATCGTAAGAAACCCTACCACTATCTCCGAGTCGACTTCAAGCTCCACTCTCCCAGGCTATGAACAAGCCATAGTAGACACCCCACAATTATGCTAACGGTGCGGTGCATACGCCTATATTCACCGCAAAACCGCCCTGCCACCTCCCGTCACTGTCCCGTAACACTCCTCTCGCTGTTGCTTTTTTCAAGTTTCCATGTGAAGCTCCATCTGTGTTAAGCTTCATCCAGCTCTCATCCAGAGGTACCCAAGCGGTTATAAATGGTGAAAGAGAGAAAGCGGTTAAATTAAGACAAACGAGTAAATAATATATATGTATATATATATTTAAGTAAATAATATTTATGATCGGTAACAAGCGATTGAATAGTAAAAAATAATTATAAGAAAACAACAAAATATAATTTTAAATCTAAACAATATTTTTAATTTTAATTTTATTTTAAATCTTTTTAGGAGAATAATATGAATAAATTATTTTTTTTTATAATTTAAAAATTCAACCAGGTAAACAAAGTAGTTGTAAACTAACCTATTTTTGGGCGATTTACAATCGCTTTGTTTAGACTTCTAAGCGGTTTTTTTAAAACCATCTATCACAATCATCGGTTTCATCCGTTTGTTCGATTCATAACAAAACAAACGGTTGAACTTCGAACCATCTTGAACTATGTTACGAATTAATCAAAACCAGATAAAGTGAAAAAAAAAAAAAGTTGCATGTGCTTCTAAAACATGGTCTTTACAGTGTAAACAACGGTTAAATATTGGGGAAAATGTCATTTAATCTCCCAACTTTCAAATTGTGCTCATTTGAGACATCAACTTCATATGTGGCCATTTAAAACATGAACTAAACGTTGACTAACGTTTGAGACATGAAAATTCGTTGACCAAGCGAAAATAGACATGCCGTTATCAGTCGTAAACGGAACGTCTAACGCCTGTTATCATTCATTAACGGTTCTGTTAGTCAACTTTCAAATTGTGGTCATTTTAAACATCAACTTCATATGTGGCCATTTAAAACATGAACTAAACATTGACTAATATTTGAGACATGAGAATTCGTTGACCAGGCCAAAATAGACATAACATCATTAGTCGTTAAAATAACATATAACATCTGTTATTACTCGTTAACGACTCTGTTAGTATGCCCAAAACGACGTCGTTTTGAGGATACTCGAGAAGAAATCATGATTTTTCCCAAATGAAATCTCCAAATCAAAAAGTTTGTTTTAAAGCAGAACCCAAGGACATAGTTTGATATAGAGACAATCGCAGAGCCAGTAATTGGAAGCAAACATAGATTTTTCGTTTATATATCTGTTTTCAATCTTAAAAGAAATCATGGAAGCAAACTTGTAGACCCATCATAGGACTAAATGAAGCTTTTCCGAATTGGGAAATAAAAGGTCATTTTCTAGCTGCAGTTGAAAGATATGGAGATAATAGGATTGTTCGTCTTGCTTGGACTATTGTAGAAATAGATTTGAGGATTTGGGGTTTTCATTTGGAAAAAATCCTGCTTTTCTTCTCGATTATCCTCAAAACAAAGTCGTTTTGGGCATACTAGCAGAGTCGTTAACGGATGTTATAAGTTCTTTTAGCGATTGATGACAGCATGTCTATTTTGGCCTGGTCAACGAATTCTCATGTCTAAAATATTAGTCAACGTTTAGTTCATGTTTTAAATGACCACATATGAAGTTGATGTCTCAAATGGCCACAATCTGAAAGTTGACTGAAAGAGTCGTTAATGAGTGATAACGGACGTTAGACGTTCCGTTAACGACTGATAACGGCATGTCTATTTTGGCTTGGTCAACGAATTTTCATGTCTCAAACGTTAGTCAACGTTTAGTTCATATTTTAAATGGCCACATATGAAATTAATGTCTCAAATGGCTACAATTTGAAAGTTGGGGGATTAAATAACATTTTTCCCGTTAAATATTCAGTATCTATGAAATCAATATGATATCACTCTTTCTTACCTACAAAATATTTTGATCAAGGATCGACAAGTAATGATGATAAATTTAGCGTATTTGTTTAGGCATCATGACTACTCATTTGCAAGTGTTTTGATACTAAGTCACATAGTCATACTATCCAATAAATACGAGCCCAACCAGTACTGGTGAACATAAGAAGATAAGGGGTCACATGACATCCCTAAAATAATTAAATCTGTTGTAATGTATAGAGATCATGAAAGAGTGAGCACCCTAATTGGTTATCCATTGTGTAGTGATACCCTTTAACCCAAGTTCAATTTTTTTATTGACACCTTTGGCTTCTTTTGAAAAAAAGCTGTTATACTTTTTCCTCTTATTCTTCTAAATATCACAACATTTTAATTCCCGGTTACTCTACATTTTTTTATATTCAATATGAAAATAGTCAAATTTTCTCTTTATTTCTATATGCTTAGTATCTATTTGATATTGTTACGTGATAAATTACATGGCACATTTTTAAAATCCAACAAATTATTGGATAGTACGACGCACGCTTAATGGATCAGACACTATTTGCGATTTTAAAATCCAAATAATTTGATGGGTAAAACCATCTTTCCAAAAATCCTAATAATCTCCTCAACAACCGATGTTTAGTTATATTGTCCCAAATTGATTTTAAAAGTTTTAGGCTCTGGTTGGTTAGGTTGTATTCTTGGTTTAGTACTATTCTCCATTCAATTTTAACTTTTCACTAATTGATATTTGAGAAATGGTCTCTAATAGCCTCTAATCAAGTTTTATAGACATAATTAGCACCCAAAACCTAAACTTGCACAAATATCACCATAAACTTTAATTAAACCTTAAATATATATTAATAATTTAATTATAATTAATAATTAAAAAAACACAAAAATTACACAAATTTATCGCCAAACAAAATTCCCGTCAATATTTTCCCACCAAAAAAACTTTTCTACAAAATTTTCCCACCAAAAAGAATTTTCGTCAATAGTTGTCACAAAAATATTAGATGCTAAATATTAGATGGTATAACGGAAAAATCTCATCAATGAACTCGTCATTTCTATTATCATGAGCTCATAATTGTAATGCTAGAGAGCTGGCATCTTATGTTTGCCGTCTCGAGTATTGGTAGCATGTTTTTTGATGCCAGAGAGATCTATGAGCCAATTGGTAACAATTACGACTTTTCGCTGTAAATAGTTTGGTTGTAAGAATTTTTGCTGCAGAGATTTTGGTTGTAAGACCGGTTGATAAGGGACTGTGGCTATAGGAATTAATTGTGACTAAAATAATATAAATTATACCGAATTTAAACCCGAGACTTCGGGTCTTTCTTCGATTTTGCTTTGGGTCTTTGATATGTTATAGCTTTTTCAATTTCACCAAGATAAGTTATGGATCTATCAATTTTCATTAATTTTGTTTCTAGGTTTCTGTCACACTTTCATTCATATAAATTCTGAATTTTTGTGGTGATAATGATGAAAAATGGATTCTGAAAAAAAAAAAGATGAGAAAATGGATGTCAGAAAAAATGTTTTTGGTTAGTTAATCAAAAGTATTATGTGATAAAAATACATGTAGATTGGTAGAGAGTTTTCAGTTACTATTGCGGTGAGGAAAAAAAAAGTTTTGGGTTTTTATAGTATAGTCACAATTATGAGGTTTAAAAAAGAATGAAAACACATACGAAGAAAATAAAAGTCGCTTTGATGACTTTTAAAAAAGAAGTAAGATAGTCTGATTGGAAGAAATAAACTGTAAAGACTATGAAATGTAGTTAACGCCTAACTCCAATCACCCTAGTGTCTCATGTCTTTTTATTCAATAGTTCTTGATACTTTCCCATTTTCAAAGAAAACTCATCAAAATCCATGGTTTTGCACTTCATGCTGCAAAAACTGGTAAAACCATCAGCCTTCCCCTTCGTCTTCAAACCTACTAGGTCCATCATTCATTGTAATAGAAATCATAAATGTGTAATAGAGAAGAAGAGAAACGATATCAAAATCATACATACATCAATCAAGTTTTTTCCTAATTGGTCAAGCATTCTCTAGAAGTTTATCATATCGAGAAAAAAGGTACAAAATCCTAGAAAAGCAAGGTTTAACGATGATATGTTACTTATATCGGTAAATTTTTCTCAATGTAAGGTTTTAACAACATAAGGCACAAAATCAGAATTTAACAACGATGTGAATATTTTTGATAGATTCAGTAAAATATTGTTAGAGGCATTTTTAGTAGTAAAGTAATGTATATGGTAGATTCATAAATGAATGAAATAATTTGGTAGATTTATCGGTGGTTGTGGTTGTAATTTAACATTAACAAGAAGCTCATATACCACAAATTTGTTCTAATTTTTCTAAGAAAACAAAAACCAATTTGGATAATCGGATGAAAATTGATTAGTGGGAGTATGAAAAGTACTTTTTCCCTTTTAAAAGATTTAAGTAGTTTTGGATAAAGATTTCTTCACTTCTACTCCAAAAAGCGAACATGGGACACTAGATCTCGATGGTGTTACAAAACTTGTCATCAATACTCCAAAAAACAAACATGAGACGCTAGATCTTTCTGGCATTACAAAACTTTTGAATGTTTTATAAATGATATAATGGATGATTCTCATCAATGAGCTCGTAATTAATATTACCATCATCTCTTTTTTTTTTTGTTATGCATCATATTTGTAATGCATCATGTTTGTGTTTTGGAGTATTGAATTAAAACTAGAATATTATCTGGTGATTGATGCTAATTAAAACTAGAATATTATCTAGAAGTACATTGTTACATGTATACGGCCACCGCCGAGATGTAAATTACTAGATTGTAGATTCAAACTCGTAAAACCAACCATTTTTGGTTTTGGTTTCATTTTGATATAAGTATAATCATTCATTCTTCGGGTGAAATCCGTGAGTTTGAACTTTAATTTAATTCGACATCGCGACTTAATCAGTCTCAAATCTCAACATATCTCCATAGTCCTTTACTCATTTCTCTCATACACAGTGTTCTAAAAAGCGGTCTAGGCGGTCGCATAGGCCCCGACTAGTCGATAGGCTCTCATGCGACGCCTAGATAACCGCCTTGCCCGCCTAAAATTACATAGATCTTGTTTAATATATTTTTCAATTTCAATTAGAGTTTTATTTATATATATAGTTATAAATATTCATATATTGTTTAATATAAATATAAATAAATATTTTATCTATTTTTTGTTTATAATTTCATAATTTTTAGTTTTATATAACTTTTATATATAATATCATATTTATAATGTTTTATGTTATAAACGCCTAAACCGCCTAAAAAATCGCCTAAGCCCCGATTAAGCGTTCTAGGCGCTAGGCATTGGGTCACCGCCCGCTTAGCGCCTAGCGTTTTCTTGAACACTGCTCATACATAACATACAATTTTAAAGTACCTAATGTTTTTTTTTTTATAATTTTTTTTATTATATATAAAACCGTTACAAGATGGTACGATGGTAATCATACAATTCAACAAAGCAGAAATGAGTAACAAAGCACATCAAAAGATTTCAAAGCATGAAAACTCGCGAGAATAGGAAACGAATTGATTCGAATAAAGTACCTAATGTTACCCTTAGGGAACCATGAGATACATAAAAAGCCTTACACATCAACTAGTACATGTGAGACAAATCTAGCATCTACTCTAGTTTTTGACTAGAGATTGGAACTAACACACTTTTCTACAAATTGCACAACCTGCAAAGTAAAACTAGGCTTATTAACATTTTACCATCACCAAAATTTGTGAACTAATTTAGTGAAACCAAATATCACCTGAGCTCACTCTTTCTTCATTAACCCTAAACTCTAATTACTGTTTCAGCCATTGAAGCATCTTCAATTTTAGTAGTTCACATAAAATTATTACCTAAAAAAGAAAAATCAACATAGAAGTGCGAATAAATGAGAGCTAAAAATTAAAGAGTGTTACCTACTTTTTCTGTCCTCATCTATCTCCTCCATTGATTACGCTTCTTGATTGAAGCGCCCCACAGAGAGAAAAAAAGCACACATTCTCTAGATTCCTTCTTTCTTCTTCTTCTTCCCCGCACGAACGTTTCTGGGTCTCTCTTTTCTCTTCTCTTTTACTCCATTTCAGAGCAAAGTTTTACTCTTTAAGTTCACATGGTGGGTTTTAAAGTTCCTTCTTTTTTACTCAATTTCGAAGCTTTGTGTCTGTTTTATCTCTACCCTTTGAAAAAGTGAGAATGTGGGTTTTTGTGACTCTTTGATTCGTTGTTTAGAGAATTGGGCTTTGGGGTTTTGTGTTGAATTGCTCAGTTTTTGAAGTCATGCAGATAACATGTTCGATGATATTACTGTTAGTGATGATGATGATAAGCGTTTCAGGTTTTTCCGACTTTGAAGCTCTTTTGGAGCTTAAGAAAGGTTTTCAAAGTGACCCTTTTGGAAAAGTTCTTGCTTCGTGGGATGCTAAAGCTTTATCTACTGATAGGTGTCCGTTAAACTGGTACGGAGTTACTTGTAGTAGCGGAGTTGTTACTTCCATTGATTTGAATGGTTTAGGTTTGCTTGGGAATTTCAGTTTCCCAGTCATTGTTGGTCTCAGGATGCTTCAGAATTTGTCGATTTCGAATAATCAGTTTGCTGGAACTCTCTCTAACATTGGTTCTTTTAAGTCTCTGAAGTATTTGGATGTTTCGGGTAACTTGTTCCGTGGCTCGTTACCTTCTGGAATTTTGAATTTGAGGAACCTTGAGTTTGTGAATCTCTCTGGTAATAATAATCTGGGAGGAATGGTTCCTGCTGGTTTTGGGAGTCTTGAGAAGTTGAAGTACCTTGATTTGCAAGGCAATAGTTTCTCTGGGGAAGTGATGAGTCTGTTTTCCCAGCTAAATAGTGTGGAGTATGTGGATATAAGCAGGAACAACTTCTCGGGTTCGCTTGATCTGGGTCTCGCAAAGTCAAGCTTTGTTTCTTCGATTCGTTATTTGAACGTAAGTGAGAATTCTTTGGTAGGGGAGCTATTTTCTCATGATGGTATCCCCTTTTTCGATAGCTTAGAGGTGTTTGATGCTAGCAGTAATCGATTGTCTGGTTCTGTTCCAGTCTTCAGTTTTGTTGTCTCTCTTAAGATTCTTCGGTTGCAAGACAATCAGTTGTCGGCTTCTCTACCACCGGGCCTTCTGCAAGAGAGTTCGACCATCTTAACTGAGCTAGATCTTAGCCTCAATCAACTTGAAGGTAAACTTTCTATGAATATTCACACCCTCTCGTTCTTATCTTCAAGACTTTCTTTGTATCTGTTTAGATTACTCAACTGGGAATATTTGTGGCAGGTCCTGTCGGAACTATAACCTCTTCAACACTAGAGAAGCTCAATTTGTCTTCAAATAGACTATCGGGATCCTTACCTCTGAAGGTAGGGCATTGTGCCATTATTGATCTGAGTAACAATAAGATTTCAGGAGACTTGTCAAGGATACAGAATTGGGGGGATTCTATAGAAATTATTCGGTTGAGTTCAAACTCACTCACTGGAACACTACCTGGCCAAACTTCTCAATTTTTGAGGCTGACTTCACTTGAGGTTGCTAACAATTCGTTGCAGGGTGTACTACCATTTATTTTAGGAACGTATCCTGAACTGAAAGAGATTGATCTCAGTCACAACCAGCTTAATGGCGTCATACCGAGTAATCTGTTCATATCTGCAAAGTTGACGGAACTCAACCTGTCAAATAATAATTTCTCTGGTTCACTTCCTCTTCAAGATGCAAGTACTGCGGGAAACCTCAGCTTGACCAATATTGGTCTGTCGCATAACTCGTTAGGTGGAGTTCTCTCAGAGGAACTAACTCGCTTCCACAATCTGATTTCTCTTGACCTTTCTTATAACAACTTTGAAGGGAATATCCCTGATGGCCTCCCAGACAGCCTAAAGGTATTCACTGTCTCTGCCAATAATCTCTCTGGAAATGTGCCTGAGAATCTTAGACGGTTTCCAGATTCAGCGTTTCATCCAGGGAACGCCTTACTAAATGTCCCCGTTTCTCCAGAAACATCAAAAGATAAAACAGATATGACCTTACGGAAGCATGGGTATCATATGAAGTCTTCCGTAAAGGCAGCCCTGATCATAGGCTTGGTCGTGGGTGCTGCTCTACTTGCTCTTGTTTGTGCAATGTTTCATTTTACGTCGAGAAAGCAACATGATGAAGAGAAGTCGGATGTGACTGGAGAAAAGAGCATTGTTCAAAAAACTGAACCTTCTTCTTCCAATGTGATTGCAGCAAAAAACAGTGTACAGGAAAATGAATCTTCGTCTTCTACTACTTCTACTCCCTCAATCAAAGCCAAGCTACCGGTTTCTTCTTCACGCTTCTCCCAATATAGTGACTCTGAGAATTCTTCACCATTTTTGAAAGAACCTACAGAGGAGCTTCACTCTGACTCAACCAAAAAAGATGAAGCCTTGTCATCCCAAGTATCTTCGTCAACTCCATCGCTTCCTAAAATCCAGAATTTACCAGATAATCCTAGGTCTCGCCAAACTTCTATGAGATTGGATGGGAACCTGTATATATTCGACAGTTCTCTTAAGCTTACAGCAGAGGAACTGTCTCGTGCTCCGGCTGAAGCTATCGGAAGAAGCTGCCATGGAACGCTGTACAGAGCAGTGCTCAATTCTGATTCTGTATTAGCGGTCAAATGGTTGAGGGAAGGGACTGCAAAAGGTAAGAAGGAATTCGCAAGGGAGATAAAAAAACTTGGGAGCATCAATCACCCAAATCTTGTTTCTCTTCAGGCTTACTATTGGGGTCCGAAAGAACACGAGAAGCTCATCATATCAAGATACATGGATGCACCCTGTTTAGCTTTCTATCTCCAAGGTAAAGACTTGCACATCGCTTTCTAGTTAAAATTTGATATGGTTTTCACTTAAAGCATGAATTCTCCTACATGACTATACATAGCAATGATGGTTCTCTCATTCTCTGTTGTCTGCAGAGGCTGGACAGCTAAACCTCCCACCATTGTTACTGGAAAATCGTCTTAAAATTACTCTGGACATAGCTAGTTGTCTTAGTTATCTGCACAATGGGGAAGCAATTCCACACGGGAATCTAAAATCAACTAATGTTCTCCTGAAACCTCCTGAACTCACTGCACACCTAACAGATTACAGTCTTCATCGATTAATTACACCAGAAGCCACGTCAGAGCAAGTCTTGAATGCAGCTGCTCTCGGCTACTGCCCTCCAGAGTTCGCAAGCTCGAGTAAACCGTACCCTTCTCTGAAAAGCGATGTGTATGCCTTTGGGGTCATTTTGTTAGAGCTTTTAACAGGAAAGGTATCAGGAGATATAGTTTGCAGTGATCCAGGGGTCGTTGAACTCACTGAATGGGTTCTACTGCTTGTGGGACAAAACCGTGCAACTGAGTGTTTTGATCCATCCATTATTGGGTCACAGGGCTCAAGGAATGCTTCTGGAGTTCTTACTGATGTCTTGCAGGTTGCCCTGAGCTGTATCTCACCAGCACCAGAGAGACCGGATATGAAGTTGGTCTCTCAAGAGCTCTCCAGAATTGTTCTCAAGAGGACAGCAAACTAGAAGAGCTTTCGTTGTGAATGTCGCTGTAAAAATGCCTTGTTGGATTCATTTTGTTCCATTAATTCCGTTTTTGTTATAGCATAAAATGAAACTGTAAATCTAAATGAAATAGTCCAACTGGTTTCGAGACAATAGGGTTAACATATCATTGTTGTAAGTCTCAAGTCCGGGCACGGTATAGAGCCAACTTTATAAATAGTAAAAATACTCATTTGGCTAAACCTAGTTACTTTACCGTTTAGTCATAGTGATGCACTGATGCTTGTAAGTGAAAGTGAGATCCCAGATAATCAAAGAAGAGCGGTACTCATTTGCAGTTTATGGAAACCAAATCGCCAAAAAATCCATCAAACTTGTTGATGTCTTCGATGACTAGCCAAACTTAGCTTGGTTCTAGGCTCATGTTCATTAGCTAAGTTTCAACTCTTCAGTGAGCTTAATGTGAGTGGCAATTCTCTCATGTGTGCAAAAGACCATTAACCGATGTCTATTCTCTCATGTGTGCAAAAGACCATTAACCGATGTCTTTGAACAAGATGTTTTTTTTTGGTAGAATGAGGGAGACAATGTCTCCCGCTTTTATTAATTAAAGAAAAAATTACAAACGAACATTACGTGGTCTCGTGAATCGACTCAAGTCCTCTAACAAAACCGAATTAACACAATCCGGTCTAGAAACAAAACTATGAAAACTATAAAGGTAAAGAAAAAGCATAGTTTGCTAATCTGTCGGCAAGACGATTAGCTCTATGAACAAGATGTTGGTGAATGAAAATTTTCTTAGAGATAATATCAGTATTTTCGATAATAAAGATTCTTGAAAACAAAATCCAGTCAACTCAATCAAAAATATATTACTGTCTTATGTGCAACTTTTTTTTTTTGGTTAAACCGATTTGAGTTCCGTACCTTTGGCCCATAATCTCCCTAAATACTCGGAATTAACCTTTAGATATTTCGATTTTAAAAAAATAAACTTCCATATAAAAGGAGTTTGAACCCAAGGCAATAGGAAACCAACCCCTTTTTACCTCTTGCATTGAACAGGCCAACATTTTGATACATGTATGTCATATACATATATGTTCCTCTTTAATTATGCAATGTGAACACTTTATTTGTATTATTTATTATTTTTACGAATTGGTCAATGCACTTCCCAACCTGCTTAAATGGTAAAGCATGAACTCTCTATTTTATGTTTTAGTAACACAATCGATACTAATTAAAAATTCATGCATATTTTATTTATTAGGAACGAAAGGGTCAAGTGCGGCATTTCTTTGTCACCTTCCATTTTCTCTGCGAGACCTCAGCATCATTGTGAGAAAAAAAGAAGGAAGACAAATCTTTAGAGCTCCTTTATTTCAAGGTATGTGATCATATTGGCAATTTCTTCTACTCATTTTCTTGATTTTTTTATCTATGATGATAGATGTTGAAAACTTATTTTGTTTTGTTCACATTTTGGAAATTTCTTTCTTATGACGCTGTGATGTTCATCAAGACTAAATTTTACTAAATTTTGTAAAATATTTTCTTTAATCACTAGTGAAAAATTATGTAGTAATTGGTATGATATTAATTCGTATGGTAAATATTATCTCAGCATGACAATGTTTGTACTTTGTAGTAGTATATGATCATATTCTGTATTTTCTCTTTGTTTTTTTTTGTTTTTAATTCTCTGTTGAGAAAGTAACTATCGTATTATATAGATAACAATTCTATATTTATTGTTTCTTTTGGATTGTTTTGGTGCCATTTTTTCACACAATTAGGTTGAACCACTGTCATTATTTTTTATCCAAAACAATGGTCAATCCAAACCAAAGCTGTATTGACCATTTCTGTATTGACCTTTGATTATATCACATTCATAAAAATCCTCAAATTTTGCTTGATATTCATTTTAATTTACTGTATATATAGCTAAAAGATAAATCAATATACTAGTTCAACTAAATCATTTTACTTTTTTTTTTTGAAAAACAATAAACTGTTAATTTGTTTTAAATCATTCAACAATTTTTTTTGATGAAGTTACTTATTTTATAGTCATAAAATAAGATTTGTTTAGTTAAAGTATAAAATAAAGAAACTATATCTATAGACGATATAATGAAGTTTGCCTAACGTGCACTCCACAAATGGTACAGTCTTAGTTCGTGATCTCCATATGTACAATTATTAGACAATAATGTATTTGTGTGGATTGTGTAAATATGCATCTTCACGTTTCAAAAAAATATTTTGTATCCCAATGGAGAACACGCATACATAACTGTCTGTACGAAATTAATACATTCATATGTAATGTGTTTATCTTAGGTAATGGTTTGATTAAATACGAGTATAGTACTTAAGGAAGAATGTGTAAAGTACCAAAATCCTAGAAGTGTAAACCTAAACTTTGGTATTTTTGAAACTTTTCAAAAATAGTAGTTTTTTTTTTAATTAGACATTTTTATAGTATTCTAGCCTTCTAGGATATACTCTTAAAAGAAAAATTTTAAAAATTAATTTATAAATGTCTTTTGTTTATATTCTGACAATTTTAACAAACCTGTAGAGCTGATAAAAAAAAATTAATAGTAAACGTCAATACTCCAAACAATAGGTTAGGAAATCAACAAAAACTATATTATATGAAATGTATAAAAAAATGATAACAAAGTTTATTTAAAAATATTATTCCTAGTGTATAATACCAAAGCATTAAATAATTATGTCAATTATTTCTTTTGATTTCCGGTACAAGAAACATTTTCTTATACACATATTATTAATTTTTTACTATTTTTTGTATTAAATTTAGAATAATCATTATAACACTCTAAAGTTTGATGACCCGTGACCATTTTGGTAAATGTTTATGGAATTGAAAGAACCAATCCAAAATCGTTATATCTATAAACTTTTTTAAGTTATATATATTTGATTTTTTATAGAAAAATTGACTAAGGAATAATGTATAACAATAGAAATTTAGATACAAAAATCCCACGTAATATATCTAAATTTTTGGGTAGTGCGAGTAATGTAAATTACTCAAATTAGCGTAGAATGTAAGCCTTACTTGTACGATGGATAAACGAATGTGACATAATGATATGAGAAGAAAAAGAAAACATTTTAACCATAAATTATTTAAAATCATACTTATAACTGACTTATTTATATTAGTGTTTTGATTGTATTATTACTAGGATTCATTTTATGTAAAATGCATGTTGTTGGAAGAAAATCCAAATTTGTCAAATTTGGTCAAATTCTGGTTATCTCAAATTGAATAAGTATTCATTAACACACTTTGTGTATGTATACTATGTATCATCATTTGGAGTTGGACTCCGCGGTTTAACAAACCGTGTTTGCTTTTCTGCCTCTTAGCTGTAATCCATCAGTCATCAATACAAACTTATTATTCTTTAACTTGTGCTTCTTATCTTACTCGTGAGCACGTTATTTCATTTTTATTCATTTCTTATTACATATAATTAATTTGTTGTTTTCATGCTTCAATTTTTGATCACTTCCTTATAAATATATTTTCAACCTTATATAGATTACTAAGTCAACAATGGTTTATTATTTTTACAATATTTTCAACCATGTAAATATATTTCCAATTTTACAATAATCAACTCATGTTTTATTTTTGTTTCCTAATCAACTCAATTGTTTTTTTTGGAGCAAAAATCAACTCATTGTTTTGGCTGAATTTTTTTTTATGTGTGGAAGAATTATATATTTGATATATGTTTATGGTATAGTTGAAAGATTTATTATGAATTAAGAGACCCATGTTCGAATGATCGAATCTACACACTACAATTTCAGTTATAGTTGACTATTGTGAATATCTAAAATAGCAAAAACATTCGATTTTCATGTCTATTAAAAATTAATCTGGATTTCTGTATAAGATTTCATGATTAAAAAAATAGAAAATAACTATTTCATAATACACATCTTAATAATCTCACGAATCTTTTTATATAAGTGAAAAACAAATCAAATAGCCTGCAAAACTACACCATATAAATTCTGTAAACACATATCTATCTGAAATATTTTATTCCATTAAAATATACTCAAGTTAGAGATTACTCTCTTCAATGGTTCATATAAAAACATTATAAAAAATCTTATTTTATTAGTTTTATATAGAAATGTAGGGTCTAAAGAAGGCCTTATTCTTACCTTTAGACAAATTCAACACTAATCACGTCTTGATTTATTGCCAATTTTATACCCAAAAAAAAACAAATTCAAAACCAGTGGATTTCATGTGGGCCCTTCATAAGCAGCGCGTGCAATCAATTTTGTTCTTTTTTTTTTTTTTTTTCTCTACGCGTTTTCGTCACCTTATTTATTTTCATACGTTCATATATTTTTTCATTAATTCACATTTAAACACTTCTCTGCATATATTTATTTTTGCTTCTCCATTTCAAAACCACTTCTTCTTCTTCATTATCTCAGTAACTCTCTCCAATGGCGGAACGAGTCTATCCCACCGATTCACCACCAGAAAGCGGACAATTCTCCGGCAACTTCAGCTCCGGCGAATTTCCAAGAAAACCAACACCACCACCAGCAACATACGTAATCCAAGTCCCAAAAGATCAGATCTACCGTATCCCACCACCGGAAAACGCACACCGCCTTCAACAACTCTCTCGTAAAAAAACCAATCGCAGTACCTGTAGATGCTGTTTCTGCTCATTCCTGGCAACGATATTCATCTTAATCGTCCTCGCCGGAATATCCTTGGCGATTCTCTACCTAATCTACCGTCCCGAAGCTCCAAAATACTCTATCGAAGGATTCACAGTTTCCGGTATCAATCTGAATTCATCATCTCCGATTTCGCCGAATTTTAACGTTACCGTTAGATCACGTAACGGTAACGGTAAAATCGGGGTTTATTACGAGAAAGAAAGCTCTGTGGATGTTTATTACAACGACGTTGATCTATGTAACGGTGTTATGCCGGTGTTTTATCAGCCGGCGAAGAATGTAACGGTCGTTAGGTTGGCGTTAAGTGGGTCTAAAATACAGTTGACTAGTGGTATGAGGAAGGAGATGCGTAATGAGGTGAGTAAGAAAACGTTGCCGTTTAAGTTGAAGATTAAAGCTCCGGTGAAGATTAAGGTTGGTTCTGTTAAAACGTGGACTATGATCCTTAATGTTGAGTGTGATGTAACGGTAGATAAATTGACGGCGCCGTCGAGGATTGTGTCGAGAAAATGCAGTCATGACTTCGATCTTTGGTGATGATGAATTTGCTCTGTTTTTTTTTAAGAAGAAGAAAATAAGAAAGGAAATGAGTACAGAGGATGTTTTGGATTTGTAGGATTTATTTTCTTTTTAATGTTTTTTTTGGTTCTTTGACTTGCGTTTTTTTTTTGGATGTTTTTTTTTTGAGAACATATAATGTTGTGAATTTGTTGTGATTGGACGGCAGATATTTTCAAATGAGGAAAATTTCCAATTTGAACCTTATTTTATGTAAGTTGAAAACTTCTTTTTTGTACGGTTCAAGATTTCAAAGGAGTAGTTCATTTTTGAGGAAAGTAATGAAAAGGAAAGAGTCATACAATGATGCAAAGAGTTTACATAAAGAGTGCATAGCACACCAACATATTCTTTTTATTTTGACTGTCATTTGAACTGATGCAAAGATGTTGAAATTTAACCACTTAATTAAACATGAGCTTAGGGCCCCAAATTTCAGTTTTTTTTTCCTATATAAGAAATAGAGTATATTACACTCTAGCACACTTTATTAAGGGTTTGATTGGTTCTCTCGCTAACACCAATTGTAGAAACCACTCCATACAAAATCCCAGCCCCTCCCGTCCTGCCATAACTCCCGTGCCATCACAACCTCATAATTAGTTGGGATTGCGCCTGATTCCGAATCCAAAAGAGGTTTGCCCGACAACCATGAATCAACCCAAAATCTTATCTGTTTCCCATCACCCATCACTCAGCTCAAACCCCTCATAACCACTTCTCGGAGCCCAACACCAATACTCCTCCACGTCGACGACCAATTACTCTTGGCAACCAGCCACCGTGTGTCGTGAAAATCACCAATTCTGTATTTACTTCCTAACACTCTACTCCACAGGCTAACCTGATCATTTAATAATCGCCACCCCATCTTAGCTATGAGAGCTTTGTTTATATCCTATGCACGTCGGATACCCAAACCACCTTCTTTTTTTGGTAAACTCACACTCTTCCACGCTACTACGTGTTGCTTTTTTTCTCAGCTGAACTTCCCCATAAAAAAGATCTTGAGATTTTATCCAGTCTCTTGAGAGTAGACTTTGGCAAAATAATGGTACTCATCGAATGTACCGAAATGGCTGTTAAGACTGCTTTCGTGAGTGTCAATCTCCCTGCAAAACTCAAAGTTTTTCCTCTCCAACCCGACAGTCTAACATTCTATTCAGCCTTTTATATATATATTATAAATCTCGATCAGACCTTAAATAAATAGAAAAAGAAAGTAAGAGTTTGTAGAAGCTCATGGTTCCCACGTTTTTGACTCGGCCATACATCTCTTTCTTCTCTCCATACTGAATTTTGAACGAAAGTTTGTAATCCTTCTTTCTTCTTCCTTCTAGACTCCTAGGTGATATGCTTGTTAATCCAGTGGAATTTTCATTTCTTTAACTGAATTTGTTGTAAAAAACCCAGGTTCTAGAATATGGATTTAAAGAGGCCGTTTCCAGGAATGTGGCGGTTTCCTACAAATCCCGAGATTTGTTGCATCTACAGAGTCCCAGACTGTCTGCGTAGCGTAAATCCAGAAGCATATACACCTCAATTACTCCTCATTGGACCTCTTAATCATTCTTTCAAATCTCCTGGAGATGTCACATATACAAATTCAACGGGATACTTCAACATGGAAGAGTGTAAGAAGATTTAGTTAGCGGAATTCACACGAAGGGTTGTTGGAGGGGAAAATACCATTAAAGTATTTATGAGAATGATCGAAGAAGACGAAGATAGAATCAGGGAAAGCTATTCGGAATCAACTGCTTGGATTGAATCTCAAGAGTTCGTCAAAATGATCCTACACGACTGTGTTTTTATACTAGAGCTCATTTTGAGGACTTTATATAGAAAGAGGACGGGAGAAAACAGGGGATCCTATCATGGACATGCCTTGTCTTGAAGTCATAGTCAAGTCAGATCTCATGTTGCTCGAGAACCAACTTCCGTACTTCATCCTCGAGAAACTCTTCAAACCAATATTCCCAAGAATCCAGGAATTAATTATCGAGTACTTCAAATTCGAAGGTAAAATTGGAAATGAATCCAAATTTAGACATTTCACTGATCTGTTCAGGTGTGTTCGCGTTGAAACACTTCAAGAGCTTCCTCCAATGGAATTCAACCAAATAGAACATATGTATAACGCGGTTAAGCTACATAGTGGGGGATTAAAATTCGAGGCCGTAGAAAACGAGTACTCGTTGTATGCAAGATTCGAGAATGGTTGTTTGAAGATGCCTTCTCTCGCGGTTGATGACAATGAAGAAACCAAATTGAGAAACATAATGGCGCTTGAACAATGCCATTACCCTCGCAACCCACATGTCTGTAACTACATCATTTTCCTAGATTACCTCATCGACACCGAGAAAGACGTCGACTTGCTTGTAGAGAAAGGTAACCCTTTATCGTATAGGCCCATGTACATAAGTATATATTGATTCATGTTGGTTTTCGTTTGTTTTTAAGGCATAATAAGAAACTTGATTGGGCAACACAGTTTGGTAGCGGAAATGGTGAATACGCTCTGTACGGGTATCATCAATATTGGCTCTTACAGCTCGGACATATCGATTCAAGTCAACGCTTACTATTCAAGCCCATTCAATAGGGCACGCGCCATCCTGAATAGAGTTTATTTTGGCAACATGTGGATAGGGACGGCCACAGTCGCCGCCACGCTTCTATTGTTGATGACTCTCGTCCAAACGGTGGCTTCAATCATTCAGGTGAAACAGAAATGATTTTAGACACGCCCTTGCATTTCTCTCCATTTTTTTCCGATTTAGAAACTTTATCGTTCGTCCGCCAGATGATTTGGGTTTCCGTCTTGTCACTTTACCTTTTGTGATTTCTTAAAATAAAATAAATATTACAAAATAAACATATTTTTGTCCTGAAAACGTTGTGATTATCAAGTTGTATTAATTTTTATTCTGATAGTTGATTGTATCATGTAGATATTTTGGCATAAGACTCGTTATGACAATATTTAGATGATACTCAAAATTTGTGATTTTCAGATATGATCGAAACGAAAAGGTCGTTGTGTAAAATCTTTGAACTTTGAACGAAAACTAAGATATATTTGGATTGTTCATTTAGATCTTCACGCTGATACAACAACTTGTTTCATTGAATAAATAGGAGTATACATGGATTTTTGTATCTTTCTGTCAAACATGCTTGTGTTCCAAGTAAAATAGAAAATAAATCGCTATTTGTCAAGTGTAAAGGTTACTTACAACACCTAGAAACGCTCGAACAACATAAAACAATGTATACACACCACGTCTACACTTAAAAGCACGACGTCTACACTTGTTAGCTACTACCACGTCTAGGCTTTTAGAGTTTTAGTCAACGTCAAAATTTGAGTTCAACATGCTTTCACGAATTAGAGGCTAAACACAAGTACATAGGATCTTTATATCTCACTACTAATGTATACAGAAACAAATATCTAAGCTCCTACGACCTGATCAAATTCTAAAAACATAATGATAATTAAAAAAGCTTAGGGTGAATGACTAATCTCTTACAAAAATACATAGTTGGAGGTCGTAACCTTGCTCAACCACCAAGAAACACGACAAACAATATTTTACTTTCATGCTTTCAAATACAGTTTCTCAAAGACTCAGAGTAAAAGCCTATGTGTGGTGATTTTTAAATATTTCTGTATTCTAAAAATAACATAATCCTTATTAGATTATTTAGATAAATAGTTTGTTAGACTAAAGTCTCCTTTAGCTTAAGTCTAACTACTATACTAATTAATGTGTATATTAACAATCTTGTGACATTCATTTTCTGGTTAATGAGATATAATCGATGAAATTGATGATGAATTTGATGATAATTGATGAATCGACGCATAAGTTTTTCTAAATGAGTTTGTTACCTTCATAAAGCTCTAAAATGTTGACGTCTCCTCTTATAGAGAGGCTCATTTTAATTTCATATTTTGATTCTGTTCTCAAATGATCAGACTAGTGTAAACTATTTATTTTGATATGCCCACAAAGGCACAACTAATTTCAATATTCATGCTTGAAGCAATCTTTTAAGTAATCCATTTTTTTTTGCATTTACAAATGCCAAACCCAATTTTCCCTCCAAAATTTTAACCTGACAAAACTCTATATTTCCAAGAAACTAAAAAAATCATTTTCCTTGTGAATAAGCCTTCTTCAACTGCTCGTAGTTGTTCTTAGCTCCGTGGATTCCTTCCTTAAGGTCCTCATACATTTTCACTGATGATTCCGCAAACTGGTTGAGTTGTCCAACAAATCCTTCCAAGCTTGTCCTAAACCGATCAAATCCTGGACCACAATCCTCCAATGTCACATCTTGCAGCATGTGAGCGGTCAAATCGTTTTTGTTCTCACCAGACCGATGTTTCTTGGTGCGACTCTTCTCCTGACGTGGCAAGAATCTGGCAACATCAGAAGCAAGTGCTTTAATGGAGCCTGAAACCTCTTTGGTAGGTAAAACTTCGAGCTTTTCTAGCCAGATTCCACAGGTTGCATAAATGGGAGGACCATAATTTCTTAAAGACGGTTGTGGCGCACGCCTTTTTCGTTTGGAGGATCGTTGTGGTAAGGCGACACATTTCACCAGCCACTCGTTTATCGCTTGAATATATGATTTCTGGCCTGTGATCCATTTTGTGAAGCTTGAGGCCAATGCGCTGAGTTCATCTTCAAGGTGAGATGTTACTTGTCTGTGCAACTCTGATTGCATGTTGAGTTTAATGTTTCCGCCTCTGTAACAGGCTTTGATTAACTGAAACTGAACCTTGTGGCATTCCAACATGACTTCCCACATACGACTCAACCTAATTCACATCCAAGAAATAATAAATATAATGGTTCAGGTCAAATTTGAAATCATGAGTATACTGGAGCGAGTGACTTAACACATACCCTTCAATGAGTTCCTCAAGTTGAGGCTGGAGCTCGTTGTCGCGGAGTTCTTCAATCCGTCTTGATATTGAGTCAATCCTATGAATCGCCACTCTGATTCTGGAGTGAAGGTCTTTCACAACTGCACGTGTCTTGTCTATTCTTTGTGAACTTTTACCTTCTGATTCAAGTTCTCTCAAAATTCTGCACTTTTCGTCATACTCTCTCCGCACAGTCTGACTCCCCTGAAACCGATAAAAGTGAAGAAAACAAATCACATACTTTCACTGCAATTTCTTGATTTTTTAAGATCTATTTAAGGCACTATAAGTACCTTAACTTCATCATAGAGCTTCCGCTCCCATGCATACAGTCTGTCTAGGGTTGAGGCATGGCTTCCAGCAATCATGCAAATGTTTTCAAAGAGATTGCTATTGAGCTCTTCCACATCATCAGAATTCATTCCTCCGAGAGGATTCCGAGAAGATGAGGATCGTGAAGATTCAGTCCTATGCCAGGTTAAGTATTTTACCGAGTTCTGAGCAGGCTCTGCACAAACAACTTACACTGTAAACACTCCATACAATTTACAACAGTTGACCCAAAATGTAAAAAGGTTAAATTACCTTCTGGTACATCTTTTGGATCTTCCCCACAAGAGAGACAGGTTTTGAACAGTGATGATGCACCGGAGCCACCTGCAAAAAGCAGAGATATGTGAGTTAACGTGTGTTTTTCTTCAAATATAAATCACAACCAGTAAGCAATCTAGATGCAGAGACACATAAGATTAACTAAGGTGGAGTTTACGCATGCATATACGTGTAAGTAAAAGCCTTCAAGAGATGAAAATTATTACTTTCTTTTGATGCAACTATTGGACGGAAATGCAATTTATTGGCTTCAAGCATCCTAGGAACCTCTTTTCCAGTCTCTGAAGCTTTAACAAAAAGCAACTCTATCTCTTTCATGCTTGACAAGAAGTCCCTGGGAGGAAGCTTGTTCTCGGTGTGATCTCCCTTGTTTGGTGTTTTGTTCACTGGAGTGGCTGCTAAAGGCGTCACTGGTGGTGATAACTCAGGAGTTTTACTTTTCTCAGCGTCTGAGAACTCACTTTCAACTCCCTCTCTTTGAGGCAAAGCACTGTGATCACGGCGCACTCTATTGAAGTTTTCAAAGCTTCTAACAAGTGTATCACTTGTGGGCTCATCAAACTCATCATCATCCGAATCTCTGGACTCTTCCCTTTCTTGAAAAGAAAAGTCCTCACCATCATCTTCCACCTCCGGAGTTTCATCTTCTCCCTTCACAGATCTCGACACATGACCATTCCCAACATGAGAAGAAGAAAACTGGTTGTCAATTGGATGAGAAAGACCAAAATAATCCCAAGGTGCTTCAGGTGGCATGGAAGAAGATTCCTCAAATGGGGTTGATTCCATCTTTTCTACAGACCTGCTTCGTGGGATACTAGATGAGGTTACAGTGGCAACAATAGAAACTGGCGGTTTCTCTTCCACTTTTTTTGAAGAAAACCCTCTGAATTTCATATGATTGACCTGGAACGGACTGGTACTAGGAGGCGACGGAGGAGGAGAATACGTATCATGGTGGGAATGTGAAGCAGGTGGAGGAGAGTATGACAAATGAGAAACCGATTTCTCGATTAAAGCAAGAGGTTGTTCTGGTGTTGCACTAGTGGACGTGTACAAGGAAGATTCAACTGGAACTTCAGTTTCAGCAAATTTCCTGAGGGCAGTTCCGGTACTCTTAAGAGACTGAACGTATGAAACATGAGCAGCAGCTAACAAACATCTTCCATCGAGTGCTTGTTGGACGAATTTTTTTCTTTCCCGACATAACTGTAAGGCTTTATCTTCATCTATTCTGGATGTTGATGCACCCATTGTCCAAGCTTACATGCAAAAAACAAGTTACAGAATTAGATTTACAACCTGCAGAAACGCAATCGTACATAAATTAGACCAAGAAATAACACAAAACTGACAGAAATACTTGAATAGTTCCAAATCTAGAAAAGAAAACCTCCAAACTGAGAGGAATATTCATAAGGGCAATAATATGTTCCTTAGGACTCTAAATACTATTCCTATTTGGAGTTCTTCTATTATGTGGTTTGGGAGATTCTTATAGATAGGAAGGAGGACCCATTTGCAAGATCCATCCTGCGAAATAGGCTTTGTGAGGGTTTATCAGTTTATAGCGAGGGAACTGTATTCTGCATTTGGTTTGGTGTTCTTTTTTTGTTATCTTGTTCTGGGTTATATTCTTATTAGTGATCCTTAACTCTAACAAAAACTACCACAACAAACACAAAATTGATACAATAGAACCTTAGATACTTTCAAGATTATCAATTGGAATAGATTTAGTGAAAGAGGTCTAGGACAAAAAAACAAAATGGCAGAGTTTCAGTGAGACTGTATTCTCGACATCAATGCACCAACCCCTAGCAGGATCCAATCGGAGATAACTAGAAGAGAAATTTTAAGAAATAGCTAGTCATTTGTTCCACTAAATTATGTAATGCAAAGGTGTGAGTGAGAATATCATTGTATTCATGTTGAATATGAGAGAAGAAACAATGCTCTTTATTATCAAATTGCATCAAGAAATAAACAAATGAAAAGTATGCATTGCAGGATAGTTGCTATTAGCTAGGCATGATGATTCTCTCAAATCTCAAAACTCAATCCTCCGTATATAAGAAATAAAAATAAACAAAGTAAATCACAAGCAAACACAAAGAGGATACATAAATTCAAGGCAATGAACATAGAGCTGAAACTCAACACCACTAACAGATGAGTATTAAGAAACAGAAGGAACAAGCTTATATTACTCCCAACACAAAACACAAATCAATCATACATACCAAATAAATAAAAACAACCTAAAACAACAATCTATCAACAATTATAGAACAAGTTTCCACTTTGAAATCATAACACAATCTAACCTATTCTCTTAACCTAGTAACCTGTTTTCGCTGTTACAAGTTCATCAAGCAAACCCCTCTTACGAAAAAGTGTAAAACTTTCACAGAACCAAGTTGCCGTTGTATCAACTAATAGATGAGAAACAATCAGAATCACATAAAAAAGACAACTTTTATTGGTAATCGGAATCTAGGGCGAGAGAGAATATATGCAAGGAGAAACATAAACAAAGTCATACCACAGACAAAACACAAAACTGATTGAACAAATTAGGAAGTGTTCTTAGAGTAATCGAAAATCAAAACCTGAAAAGTGAACGAATTTGACAAAAAGGAGAGATTTTTATAGAAAGGTAAAGAAACCCAATTGAAATTGGACCATAACAGTAGAAGAAAACCTAGAAAAGGAGAGATTTTTCACACAAGTAGAAGAAACCCAGAAGAGAAAACAAGGAGAAACGGCGATACCTAAGAGTCGGGGGAATTATAGAGAGGTTCTTTGAGAGCTTTGGAGTTACGCGAGAGGATCAAACAAAACAAAACAAAACGTCTTCTTCTACAGGAGGCGAAGAAGAAGGAGAGAGGTGTTTGTGTGTCGTGTGTGAGTCAGCAGCGAATCAGATGGGTAGAGAGAGACAGAGGAATCTTATGCGGAGGAGAAAAAGGAGATTGTGTGTGTGACTGACTTAACAACATGCAATAAAGCATTTGCTTGCTTGTAAATAGGCCTGGGATAATTACCCGAACCGAAAATTCCGACCCGACCGAACCGATAAAATTGAATTCGGTTTACAATCGGTTACTACACAGAAACCGATCGGAAGGATTTCAAATAAACTTCGGTTTTCTCGTCGGGTCGGTTCGGTCGGTTATTCCGATCGGTTAACCGAAAATTTTAACCTAACTATAAATACATAATTCTAACCCTAAAGGACACTCAGCCTCCAACCTCTCTCACCTTTGGTCGTTCTCATCTCTCAATTTTCTCTGTCGCAACCTAATCTCACTGAGACACTGAAGCTCAATCTTGTCTTCTTCCTTCAATTCTCAGTCTTTCTTATTTGTTCATCTTTCGTTCTAGCCTTCTAGGCAAAGGTTAGTTCGATTATTACTTCGATTATTCAATTTGATTTAGGGTTTGAGTTTATATTTAATATGAAATATTGAAATTGATTGTTTTGTGACTCTTGTCCTTGTTCATCCCTTGTTCTCAGACTCTTGTCCGTGTTCATCCCTCGTTCTCAGTTTGGGTAAGGATTTGAGATTCAAGATCTAGGATGTCAAACCGTCGTTCTTCTCCGCCGCTGCAACCGCTTCAAAGATGGAGAAACCCTAATTGTCTACGGTTTATGGGCTGGGCTTTGTTTTCGTTGGGTTTTATACCCAAAATATTTTTTGTAGACTTTAGTTAGATTTAAAAGCCCATAAAGAAAAAAACAAAATTTAAGAGAAAAATAAATTCGGTTTTTTTTTCGGGTTTTATACACAAAACCGAAATAACCCGTTTCCGAACCGAACCGAACCGAAATCAATTTCGGTTATCTTCGAATATATTTAAAAATTCAAAATTAACCCGAAACCCGAAAAAACCGACCCGACCCGACCCGTTTACCCGAACTCGCAGGCCTACTTGTAAAGATGACTTTGACGGGTGACTCCAAAAACGGTAACTTTCTCTTGCCGTTGTTATTCTAGTCCGGTCACTTTTTTACACTTTTTTTTTTTTTGTCTTTTTAATTTTTTAAGGATTCAATAGTTTATGACAAACATCCTTAATCTATGGTCTTAGTCAATTGCTTTATAAAACCATTTTCTTATGTCAACTCACATTTTATTAAATATAAAACGGTATAAGAAACTAATCCTATCAAATTGACATATACATAGAGAAAACCATTTAAGAGTTATTGGCTTAATTTTTTTGAATTGTTTGAAGAATTTTTTGGGAATGCTGGGGAAAGAATCTGACTGAAAACTCTAGGAATTTATAGAAAATTATAAATTAGTTTTGATTGGATGAAATGGAGGAATAGTCAAAGGTGGCCAAATAATTAACTCAGAATGTTTTTGGGAACAAAGAAAAAAAAAACCAATGTGGCTCCTCATGTCAGTAGAATATAAAATATGGAAATATCAATGTAAGTTGAGTATAAAAATCCAAATACACTTCACGGGGTTAAGAAAATATGGAACAAGTCCATATATAAGTAACTATTTTCTTTTCATTTCTTCTATCATGTTTCAATAGAAACAATCGAAGGATAAAAAAATGGGTAAGACCAGTTTTATACTAAGAAATCATTCGGATTCAAAGCATTGAAAAGGAAAAGCACAAGATGAATAAAAACAAAACGTATTATTTTCTTTGTTTTAAATTAGTTGTCGTTTTAGAAGTTAAATTTTGGTTTTAGATTAGTTGTCGTTTTCTGTTTTCAATGCAGATGTTTGACGGATTTTTCAATTATACTTCTATTCTTTAAGCTTATTTATTAACGATATTAAATAAAATAATACATTAATTAGGGATAAAATAGAAAAATTGAATGTTTTTTTAATACGCGTTAAACGACAACTAATTTAAAACGGAAAGAGTACTAAAAATCCGAGACCAAAACATTTTACGCATAATTAGCTGTAACCTGTAATATCATTAGTTAACCCTAATTCTCCTAAATTCCAAAATTCCAAAACAAGTAGTTTTTTTTTTATTTAGGAAAAAAACTATTGAGGATGTAATTTGTAGTTATCATAAATAAAACATTCATAAAATAACATGTTACTTTGGGCATGACTTGTATGTCAAATAACAAAATAATTACAAACGAAAAACATTCAAGTTTTGATAAAATAATTATAAAACGCTAATAATTAATTTTAATTGTTTAGTCATGTTTTGTATTTTAGTTATATTTTTAATACGTTACTGGTATATAACAAAATCACCTCTTCAAAATATGAAAACGAAAACAAATAATATACTATTTAAAATTATATTGATCTTTAATTTTTCACATGATGGTCAAACAAAATAAAACGTCAAATTTCAATTGATAAATTAGATGTCTACATAAAAATAATATAACTTGTTAGAGAAAAACAAATTAAGGTTTTGACAAAAAAAAAAAAAAGAAAAAAAAATTAAAGCATTCTTTTTTTTTCTATTTAAATAATGAGACTTGAATAATATTCAAAATACAACTTAGCACAAGGCATTAAGTGAAACTGTGAAAGTAAAGATAAAGACAAACATCATAACTTTTACCAAACATAAACCAAATCCTTCAATTGGTCTCAGAGAATGCATCATGAGCTTTTGTTATGATAGCTTCTTTCTCATCCCAACATCTTCAAAAAATTCACCAAGGCCGGCAGGAATTTCGTCCCAGACCAAGCTTCCACACCATTAAACCATAACCGCTACAGCAAAAAGTGATTTCCAGCAGCCATCCACTCAGTCAAACAAGTAGAAATTATTACCTAAAAAAGATAAACAAACTTAACCACACTCAGAAAATCTGAGAGACCAATGGCTATTTAGTCTCTACGATTGATGATTATCTTGAGGACCTCATGGTGGATGATGATCCACCGGATAAAACCTCACACCATTGTTCTTCCTGCATTGACGGGTATTTCTATCATCATCATCAATGATGTTCTTGCCTTTCTTTCTTTTAGAGTTTTCTGCAATTTCATACTTAGATTTAGCTTTAAAATCTTGCATGGAGGTAGAGTCTAATGAAATTAGATGAGAAGAAGAACTTGATCCTGGAAACCTTTGCATGGGATTAGCAGCAAGAAACTCTTCCAGATTAGGCATGGGAGTAGGCGGTCTAGGAGGTTGAGTGATGGGACTATATGATGAGATATCTGAACTGAAAGAAGATGATGAATCTTCAGACAAGTTATGACTCTTGGTTCTCCTTTCTTCTTCCCCAACAGGATTGTCAGGAACATCTAAAATCTCATCAGGAATATCAGGAGGAGCAAGGTAAGGGCAGTGACTAACTTGATGATTGATACGACAACAATTGGTGCAAATCCTTCTAAGCTTTTCATATTCAAAACCAATCATAGCCCCTTCCCCTGATTCAAAACGAACTCTTCTAAAGAAACGAAGCCGATCAGAAATTCCAAACCTTATCTTTACTCTGATAAACACTATCTGAATAGTGGTTGCTTCATTAAAATCAAGATCAACAACATGTCCAAGTAAACCTGACTGTCAATTCAGAGACATAAGGTAAAGGAATACCTCTAACCTGAACCCATATGTCAATGAAAGTGATAAATTCTTCATCAGGAAAGTCCATCCAGCGTTGTAAAGCAATAAACCATTGATTGAAAAGCCAAGGTCCTTTTCTAAGAACAGCAACCAGGTCCACTTCAGTCTGAAACAGGAATTGAACATACCTATCATCCAGAATACGACCATGCACTCTATATGATAAACGCCAGACTCTAGGTAAGGTGAAAATCAAAGTTCTTAGGTGCTGATCACTTGGATTGAGTGGTCTTCCAATCAGACTTAGCCGGTTTCTTGCTAGAACTCCAACATAGGTTGTATATGGGATACACAATTCTGGGTCATCACGTCTCAGAACCATGTGTTGTAACTCATCCCACAAGTCGTCAGATATAGTAACCAGAAAAAAGAAAGAAGCTAGGGTACTAAAAGAAAGAGAAAGTTACAGAAGTAAAATAAGTTTTTCCTCTGTGGCTTCTCTCCTTGGAATGAATGACTCACAGTTGCGAAAAGGGTAGTTGTTCGGGTGAACGTCTACGCTCATCACTTCTTGTGAATAGCAGTACTCTCCATCATGGTTTGCAGCTCCATGACGTGGCGAATGGTGTCTCCCAATGATTTGATCTCCAGAGGATCGAACGGCGTGGCGGAAGACGTGTAAAGGTCGGGCAGGGGCCAGACCGGTTGGTGTGCCTCGTGGCCGGTCTGGACACAAGGGGTCACCCCGGTCACGGGCTTCGTGACCGGTCCAGCGGTGGCTTCTTCGGGACGGTCCGATCGGCTCAAAGTCTCCAATGGTTGCTGCTTCGGGCGAGTGAGGGTGAGTGCGGTATGCACCGATGCGGTATGCACCGCGCGCGGGTCAGCCCATACGTACCAAGGGTTGGTCCGTACATGTGGTCGTCCGAAAGCTCTTGTAATGCTACGAATTCTGAAAGTGTAAGGTTTTGATATTCTTCGGGAAAAGCTCTCGGAATCATCCTTAAGGTTTCCTGAAGTTTACTCTAGTCCTCAAACTTGTGGAACTAACAATCTCTCCCCGGCAACGGCGCCAAAAACTTGATGTGGGTGTCAGGTTTTAAATCCTTAAGAACACAACGAATAAGCTGCAAGTGCACAACGAATCAATCGTAGTACTTAGGGTATCGAATCCATAGAGAGAGAAGTAGTTTGGACAAGTCGTTAGGACAAGCAAAGCTAGGACAAAACAATAAAGAGTGGTTGTTGGTTGGTGTCACGATTGCAAATAAAAGTAAATGAAAGCAAGTAATGAAAGCAAGTAAATAAACGCAAGAAATCAATAGGGAAAAAACGTTGGGCATCAAGGTCATCGCAGGGGGTTCAATGATCGCTATCTAAGAAATACTAGACTTAGGTTTGTTTACTTCCAAGTCTCGGACATACGAAACACTAAGATTCGGCTTATACTAGGTTATAGGATAAGTCGGCTAAAATCCTTATACTCCGTTACTCAACTCACGCAGGCAACGACGCATATATCAAAGCAATAAGATCAAGTTCGATTCTAGTCCATATATAAAGCCCTATAACTAAGTGGTGGGTGCTTGTTATAACACGATACACATTCGTAAGCTAGGTCTAGCGTATTAAACAACCTTGTGAGCAATTTAAACACTTGGGATCACGAGTTAGGACATGAATCTAACTACATGCATTAAGAAACAACTTACTTAGAAAGAATAAGTGTAAAAGATCAAACAAAACCCTAAGTATCGCCACCTAAACGATCGATCATATTCCCCCTTTTGATTAACCTCTTAAACCCAACTAGAAAACTACTCTAGCATGGTTAAAGAGATCATCAAAGTAAGGTTTGATAAACTCATAAGAAAGAGAAAAATAAGAACTGAATAGGGTTTAGAGACTACTTCTTTGAATGTAGAATACAAGAGGTAAGACTTCACCTTAATAGATCTTAGAGTAAACAAGAGAAAAGAGAGAGATTTGGTGGACTTCAAAGCTTCTAGGATCGACGGCTGCAGCTCACGGCGAGGGAAGGGACGAGCTTGATGGAGACTTGAGAGGCACGATGAAGCACTCGACAGCTTTCTATGAAGGCACACCTAGGTTTAGGGCTTCCAACATGTATTTATAGGGTTTGGAGACCACGGATTAGGTTTAGGGGTAAAAGCGTCTTTTCCCGTGAATAGGTTAAGTGAAAACTCGAGTTTCTGGCAAGGGAGAAGTCTTAGTGACCGGGGTGGAGAGTAGGAGGCAGCCCGGGTTTGGCCCATGTGACCGGTGTGGCCAAGAAGCTCTGGAACGGTTGCATAGCTTCTGGCCGGTCTGGACATGTCTTCACTCATCTTGTAATAACTTCCGATTGGCTCAATGAAAAACTCTGATTCTACTTCTAGGCGAATTCTGAATCATCTAGCTTTCCATAGCCACCGAGATCTCTTGATTTGGTAATCGGGAAGACCTCTAACGGACGCCATACTTCTGACGTATATAAACTGTCTTGAAACGGGTTTTGATCGCCTTTTGGTCTTTAAATCTCAAAAACTCTTAAAACCTTCTTGGCTTCATAAATACTTGAATAACTCCTTCTTAGCTCTGAAGTCACTCCAAATGCTCCCTAAAACATAAGAAAACAATAGCAAATATGGGCGAAAATCCCATGTTATCACAATCCATTCAGCATTGAACGACAAAACCAAAAAATATATATATAACCAAACAAAGACTCAAGGAAAAGACGGGTTCAAAGATTCAAAAACCAGCCTCTGTTCATTCAGGAACAAACCTTTCAACCATATGGGAAAGCCAGCAGTAGCATAAGATGAAAGTCTCAGATCTTCTGTAACACTTTTAGCAATTAAGAAAGCCTCATAATTGCATTTTGTTGGCTCAAAAAGATGAAACCAGTGTGGTTTATCCTTTCCAAATAGAATGAGGTGTGAAATGTGACTTACAAGAGCAGGCCACTGACTATGATTATGCATTGCCTTGATAATGTCCATTGTGGATGCACCAAATATCATATTCTCCATATGTAAACTCTGCATACTTTCAAGTGCCCATTCCCAACTCTTTATCTTTGCCTGCAAAATGGAATTAACAAAAGCAAAAGATCTTCTACAGTGAAGCAGAACATTACCCCAAGGATCTCTGACCACCCATGAAGCACCAAATAATCTAGATCTTTTAGACCAAGAGAAGCCAATATTACATTTAACTTCACCTACAAGAGGAGGCTACCAAATCAATTTTGGAAGTGCAAAAGTATCCTGCAAATGCACTAAGTTCCATTTTTAGTAGCATCCAAAGCTTTTTGAACAAGAATATCAGGAGACAAACTATATCCTTCAAATAACAACTTATTCCTGTTTTTCCAAAGATGCCACAAAATCTAAGCAAAGGCAGATTTAAGTTCATCAAAAGACTTTTCCATAGTCTTTAAGCTGAGAAGGTGATACATATTCTCAAATTCCGAGTTACCAAAACCCAAAAAGGCGATGGAATGTAGAAAGAGCCCATAACTGTCTTGCAAAGGGACAAAGAAACAAGATGTGATTGATAGATTCAACCTCTTCTCCACAAAACATACATCCATCAAAGATTCTGATTGATCTCGTTTTAAACGATCAGTCACCGCAAGAGCACCTTTAAGAGCTTTTTCCACAGAAAAATTCGAATCTTAGGAGCAGTGTTAACATTTCAACACTCTTGTAAAACAGGATTCCTAGAAGGACAACACTCTTCAGAAACAAGCAAGTCGTGCTTTTCTTTTCTAAACATCATGTCATAACCTGTCTTAACTGAATAAATACCATTTTTGGTTCCTCCCCAACAGTGAGAATCACTATATCCTATCCTCGGCTTTAAAGCTGTGATGATATCTATCTCAGAATGATGGAACAACAATCTAAGTAAAGGAAGATTCCAAGCACCAGATTGACTGTAAAAAAGATTTGACACTTTAAGTGCAATATTCATAAGAGGATGATTTCCAATAGGTCTTCTTGCCCTGTCATCAAATAACCAATTGTCTATCCAAACAAAGGTTTTGTTCCCATCACCAATCACTATTTTCAGTCTTTTAGAGAGTAATTCTTTACCAAAAAGAATACTTCGCCAAGCATATGAAGGACGGCTGCCTACTGAAGCTGATAAGAAAGAACAATTACTAAAGTATATGCTTTTAAAAATCTTGAAAACAAACACTCTGTATCATAAAACAACCTCCACGCTTGTTTTGCTAACATAGCTTGGTTAAAGATTTCCAAATCGTTTAAACCAAAACCTCCAGCAGACTTAGGCAAAGTGAGTTTATCAGCACTCAACCAATGGATTTTCTTTTGATCTTTCTCATTACTCCACCAATAATCCATCATCACATAAGTCAATTTCTTGAAAGTAAACTTGGGAAACTTAAAACAAGACATAGCATATACTGGTAATGCCATAGCAACAGATTTTAAAAGAGTTTCTTTACCTCCTTGAGACAGATTCTTAGCATACCAACCAGTTAATTTAGACTGAAGTCTCTCTTTGATGAAACTGAAAAGTTCTATCAGGAAGCCCTAAATATTTTCCAGTTTCTCCTTCCAAGCTAATACCCGTAATTTCCTTGATCCATTTCCAATGTGGTTGATCTGTATTAAATCCAAAAGTTATCGCTGATTTCTGTTTGTTAATCATTTGACCTGATAATCTTTCATAAATCTGTAAGCAATTCTTCATCTCAGCACTTTCTTCTCTATTAGCCTTACAAATGAAAAGGCTGTCATCTGCAAATAACAGATGGTTAATTGATGGACCAGAAGAATGAAATTGAATACCAGAAATTTTGCCAGTCAATGCAGCTTGATTGAAAAGATGGATTAAAGCCTTAGTACACATCACAAACAAAAAAGGAGAAAGAGGATCTCCTTGTCTAATACCTCTTTCAGGCTTAATCAATCCACAAGACTCCCCATTAATCAACACAGAATAACTAACAGATGTGACACATCCCATAATCCAAGAAATCCAAAGATCTTGAAACCCAACAGCAATAAGCATATCTTTTAAAAATCTCCATTAAACTATGTCATATGCTTTAGACATATCAGTTTTAAACCATCATAAACTCTTGAGAAACACTCTGATAAGTATGAAGACTATGAACCACTTCATGAGCAATCAAGATATTGTCATAAATCAAATGCTCTGCTACGAAAGCAGCCTGAGTTGGAGAGACTATAGAAGATAAATGTTTTTTCAGTCCATGCACTAGAATCTTTGACACAATCTTATATAGAACAGAGCAAAGGCTTATGGGTCTAAGATCAGTCATTCTTTTTGGAGATTGAATCTTAGGAATCAAACACAAGTATGTATGATTCCAATTCTTAGGAAGACACCCAGTAGCAAAAAACTTCAACACTTCAGTAATGACTTGCTCTTGAATAATTGGCCAATATTCTTTAAAAAAGAAAACTAGTAAGACCATCCGGACCCGAAGCACTTTCACTACTAATAGAGAAAACAGCTTGTCTTATCTCATATATTGAGATGGGTTTTGTCAAATCAAGGTTCATTCTGTCTGTTACTCGGGGTTGAAAGTTATGCAGTAAATCACTAACCTGGATAGGAGAAGAAGACTTGAAGAGATCAGTAAAATACTGAACTGCAACTTCACCTTTTCTTTCTATGCGAAGTGTTCAACACCAAAATCATCCTCCAGAAGAGGTAAAACATTTTTCAGTCTAGCAGCTTTCACTAAAGCTTGAAAACACTTTGTATTTCTATCCCCATCCAAAACCCATTTATCTCTACTCTTTTGTCTCCAGAAAATTTCTTCTTCTCTAAAGGCTATAAAGTTCTCTCTTGATCACATGTATTCTTCTGAAACAAGGAGATAAAGATTCTAACTACAAAGGCAACTCCTTTCTAAATTTCTTTATCCTAAT